ACCGTAATCATAACTACCATATCTTGGAGGGTAACTAGATGGCGCAAAACCTGGGTCAACACCAGGAGGCCCATCGTCTCTATAATCCCCGGACCACCTTTGCTCGCGGTGATGCCCTCTGCTGACAAGTTCCGAATGATGGCTTATTCTGTTGTGTGAGCGGTTCCTAGAGAGATCTCCAATTGAATGTCCAGGCGCCCAAAGCCTCTCATCAGCATTTTCTGGGATTGGTGCGTTTACTCCTGGAAATTCGACTGTCTTTTTCCTCTCCGGGTCAGCATAGTCTGTCTGAACAATTTCACCGTCCTCCCTGTTCTTCCTTAATTTCCCCATCAGCATATATTATTATGCCTGATGGCTGATCCTCATCATCTACATCTAAAAATAACAAGACAGAGTGTTATGTCTTGAAAACAGAATTTAAATCTAAAAGAAAAAGACGGTCAGGGGTGCTCTCCAGGATTTTAGCACATCACTCTCCATAAAGTCTAAGCATATGAAAACCCCATACATCACAAAGCGAAAAAAACACAAATATTCGGCGAATACTGGCTAATCTATCCAAGAATGCACATTGCACACCCCCGCACAACACAATGCACTACCAAAAACAATTATTAAATTGCAATAATAAATTCTGAACTATTCAACCTGAACTTTTTGAATATGTTCCGAAAACTTCTTTTTAAGTACTTCTGTGATGGGACTACGACAATTATTATAATCAGTTGTTTTAAGTGACAAGGCCAATTCAGTAAAATACCTAGATATCCCGGTGGGTAACCAATTTCTCGCATTCTGTTAAGCCAAGGCGGTGGATCAAACTCCTGCACACAACCAAATAATAAATAAATAAATTGGTGCTTAATATTCTAAACCAATGTGAATGCAAGCACGCCATTAAGCTTCTATACTAGTACAATCTGGAATAGAAGCTATGTTCAATTAACAGCATTTGCGTCATACTTCTAAGGAACACCACTTGACATTAACAAGTCTTCTGTAACACAATGAGTGATCACTTACCCCAAGCCCCAAAAGCTTCCGTGTCTCAGAATCGAGAACACCAGGCCTTAAACCATCATACTTTCCAGCTGGAGAATCCTGATAATATCGTGTTGGATTACGGGAATTAGCATTTTGATTACGTTTGGACTTTAGCTGTTTACGAGCACTGTTGACAGCAGCATGGTTACGAGGCTTTGGGCATTTTTTCAACGAATGACTATAAGAGCCACAATTGAAACAGCGACTTGCATCATCTATAATCTCCAAGCCTCTGAAACATTATATAAGAATAAAGAATATATCAAAGATCAGAAAGGCAAGCAAAAACAATTTTTTGCTTATATATAGAAATCATGCAGACAACCATGAAATGGATTCAAACATTTCACCACTAGATTACCATACAAAGTATCCTGAATGCCATGTCATGATGAGATTAAGGATTAAATGATCTCTACTTAGATACCTAACAATGTTCAAAGTCCAGTCACCCTTCACTCTTGCCACTCATTATTAATTCTTAATTTTCTGGTGGTTTCTCCATCAAGAAGATCAAGGAAATAAACTTGGCTATCAGATGGACCAAAACATGAAAAATAAGGAACCAACTACAAAACCTTCAGTAAATATAGTAATACCATCATCGTAAAACATAAAACCAATAGCATGATTTTAATATATTTAAAATACTGATTAGATATTTACCCCTCTGCATTAACTGAGCTACCAGCCAAAGTCAAACCTAAGGCATAACCGCGATCATACAGGGGCACGTCATTGTTATCCAAAAGGTTGGATTCGTTGTTATCTGCTTTCCGTGTTTGGTTGTCCATCCAAAAAGACTGCATGTGAAAGAATGCTTCAGAAAAACTAACAAATAGTACTAAGCAATGAAACTCATACACAACATTCCCTTTTTCTAGTTTTTTCTGACAAACAGAAAAATTAACAATTCTGAAGAAACCATTGAACACATATTGGGTATCACTATTGCATCCTTGTTGTAGTACAAGTGCACAACAGAGGTAGGATTTTGGGCATGTCCTGTCCCCAAAAGGGAGGTGAGGAGCGTTAAATTAGGAGATGTTGCCACAAGTAGTGGCTGCATAACTTTAGCAGCTAAGCATAGTACGAGATTTTTGATACGTAATCAGAAAAGCACCTAAACTCAAGTACACAAAAACGAATATAGAGAAAACTAGAGATAATTGCAGGACCCTCACCACTGCAGATGTCTTCTCTATGCCAACATGAAGAGCTGGAAAGAAGATCTCTTCACCTGATTCCACTACTTCAATAGAATCCTGAACGATCACAAGACTCAAGTAATGATACACCCATTACAGTCAAAAGAAAAAAGATGATAATGCATAAAACACATCACCATAATTTAGTCAACAAATCAAACAAGGTAGTAGTCATGTTATCGATTTGACTCTATCAAATGAAGACCTCTCATTCTCTAAGATACTCTTGCTTTTATGCAGTACAACCAGAATTATAACAAAACAAAAAAATCATTCTTCAAAGTTGAGTGCATTTCACAAAACACCTCTCCATGTCAAATGTTCAAAAGTACTTCCAAAAACCAGAACTTAAAGTCAACCCACCCCAATTTTTTAGTGAAGACTTGATTGAAAGAGAAAATGTATCTTAAACTTAAAACTTAATACTTTGGATGATTCATCCCATGGAAGGTCATGTCACAAAATAAAGTATTCACGATGATTGGCCAACTAAATGAGGAGTCTTACTTGAGATGAAGAAACATGCTTTGCATGCCACTCTGACCACTGCTGTAATAGTTCCTCAAGCTTTTGTTTACTAGCTCTGAAAAATTAACACAAATCATTAAGAAATTGACAAATGGAAAACTAAACAGCAAATAGAAATACTCTATATAGTTTGTATTTTTTGGCTTAAGTGCATATCAAAACATTATGCAACAATTTACTCCAACCCCACCTTGTCAATGAATCAAATGTCACACGCACTGAAGCTTGCTGTTCATCAACTGTCATTCTAGCTCTCTTAACACCTGATATAGCTGGCAATGTTGAATTACGGATAACAAAAATTCGAAGATCATCAGCATTCTTAATTTTAGCATACAGCATTGTATGGTTGAAGAAGTAAACATATTTGCACATGCCACAAAGTTTCACAGTTGGAAAGAGATCGAAAATAAACAAGAAGAAAACCTTAAGAAAACAAATGTGGAAGAAGGATACAAGTGCCACCCTTTTTGTGGACTTCAAAGGTACTTGAATCTTGGACCGGAAGGAAACCATTCTCATGCACCTTTGGGAACAAAACATTTGACTCCCCTGCAACTGTAACAGTTTCAGACTGTATACAATGAGCACCCCCGTTCTTGTTACCCACTAATTTGATTTCTTCATTTGCCGAACGAGAACTGTTCAAGGCAGGAAGGTTGTTTATGTCCTCGATTTCCATATCCGAATCACCATCAACCAATTCTTTTTCAAGGTTTGATTCCAGCATGCAATGGCTAACTTCATATTGAACACCACTTTCATGCCTCAGGTTCTCACTGTTAGCTTGAACTTCACATTGAACATCACTTTCATGCCCCAGAATCTCCCCGTTTTCTTTAACTTCATATTGAACATCGCTTTCATGCCCCGCATTCTCGATGACAGAATCACCAGAATCAGGGAGACTGATAAAATTCTTGGATTCCATATTTATAAAGAAGCAACTTCTTTTGTAAGAGACCACCCGGAAAGTATTCTGCACAACATAAAAAATCATAGGTAGATCAGAAACCAATCAAACACGATATCGGACTCAAATACTGATACTAAAGTGCATTAATTTAAACAGTTAAACAGACTTATGTATATTTATGCATACAAATCTGTTTTAAAAATTTGATCTTGGAGTTGAAACGTCCGGACTATGAAATAAAAATGGAAATTCAAGAGCAGGAACACCACAGACATACAGTAATTATATCCAAAAAAAAATATAATTTAACCAGCTATCCAGACCCTCCACTCTCTCAACTCAAAAATCCAATCTTGAAGCATAGATCACAATAATTATTACTAATTTCACAAACAAAAAATAATACTAACTGAAAAGGAAACAAGTAGGCAATGACACAAGATTATGAACGGATTAGGGATTTGAAGCCAATTTACTTTCTGACCTAAAATTCCAGGGTTTCTGGGCAACCAAACGGAAAAGAGAAAATTGATAGAAAGGGGCTCCAAATTAGGGATTTGAAGAGTGCAATTTACCTTGAGTTGAGTGAGATTAGGGTTTTTGTATAGAAGCACCGCAGCTTCAATCGAAGTCCTGAGACGGTTTGGATTCCAAGTGTGAGATGGGGGGAGAGAGGCGCAACGATTGGGTGTGCTGCGGCGTACGGAACAGCGCGTGCTCGCCCCCGCAGCTATTTTTTGCTATATTTTTATGGTGTAGAGAAATCATTGACTTTTTTTATTCTTTGATCATTTTCGTTTTTCTTTTTCTTTTGGTAACATTTTCTCTCTCTAATTTTCGTTCAATTTCAAATTCATACGTCTTTCAATTTTTTGAGTTTCATATCACGATTTTGTATCAATTTCATACAATCATTTTAAATTGACAGTTAAATGATAATGTAACAATTGCAGAACGTACATTTTGTTGACTTAGAGTTCAAATTTAAACAGCATAATTAAGACAAATTAAAAGAAAATTTTGACAAATTGACTAACGGTTACAAGATATTGGTACGAAATCGTAGGTCGTATAAATTTAAAAAACTATAAAACGTTGTATGAATTTAAATTTGAACGAAAACCTGACAGAACAAAATGTAATTTTTTTTTACCCTTTTATTTCCTTGCCTTTTTTAGACAAGAGACTAATAACTTACAATGCTCTTGCTTTCCCACAAAACAATTTCTAGTGAAGGCGACATATGAGATATTTTGTCATCAAATGTAAAATTACGGATAACGCTTGCATTCCTCTTTATGGGATGAACTCATTCCCCTACTTACTTATAACATATTTCACCGTAAAATTTTCATAATCCAAACTGTTCGATCTTTTAATCTTCATTTATGATCCAATTCGATTCCTACCTAGTTTCTAATAAGTTGACGACAAAGCCCTTCTCCTCTTCAACGACAAGCTCCCACTGCTACCAATCATTATATTTGGTTCAGATTCTCTAGAGCTTGATGCAGCTGCCTTTGATGCACTTCTCTTTGCCAGAAACCCTAAGCCATCACTTGAACTACTCACTTCTTCCACTGCAGCTGCCTTCCCCTTGCTTTCGTAACAACTCCACTCACTCTCTCCTCCTCCTCCGCTGCTGCTGCTTTCTCTGGAAGACGATGATGCATCACTCAACGTGTGGACTACACTCCTTGTTTTCTTCCCGTCGTATGATGGAAGAAGAGATTTCGACCGCGAGCTGCTGCCGCCATCTCTGCCCAAACTATATGTTGTTGAGAGCTTCCTCTCTATGAATTGCCTTTTCTGTAACAGATTCGACAGTTTCTCAAGCACTTGTGCGCTGGTCACTGCTTCGACCGCGGCTTGCTCGAGTTCTGTGATCGTCCTGTCGAACGTCTTCTTTTTGAGTCGGAGAGAGCGCTGAGAGCAATGGCAGAAATATATTTGAGAAGGTGAAGGAGCATGCATTGTTGAAAGCGCATGATGAGGACTTAAATCTTACTCTCTTTTCAAGAAAACTTCCGAGGTTTTTTTCGCCTTGAAGCTTCTTTTTACTCCAGAATATGCAGCAGAATCGCACAGGTCCGGCTAGTAGTACCAAGATTGCAGATTCGAAAAGCAGGAACAAAAGTATTGCCCTTCCATTACCTGATGGGGACAAAAACAGGAAGGACTGGCAGATGAAATCCTTCGAGTTCAAGATTTGCAACTACAGCATTCGCGTGATTCGCTACTTACCAGTGTACCTGCTGTCCAGCTTCGGCCTTACTTGGGAGCAGCTAGACATAAGCTTTTGACCTGATCAGTACAAGTAGAAGGTTACAAGAACTGAAATATAAACGAGTGTCGAAGAAATTGCCAAGCTAGGTCTTACGCGTGGTACGGCATGCCAATGGATTTCCAGTTTCTGCATCCATTTAATGAAAACAAATGGATCAATAAGTAAGCTGAATTACTGCTAGCTGTACGAAAGATAAACATAAAAATATCAAGTGAGCAGATAGATCCGATGATCTTGCCCGACCACTTTTCTTGTAGTGAAAGAAAGAGAGGTACTAAAGGGTACACTAACGTTTCTCAATTAGGCTACAAAGGCATATTTTCATACATATTTCAGGACACTGAAAAAAGTTGTACAACAAATCCAAGAAGGGACTCTCACTTGAAGCAGCGACAAATGCAAGAAGAATCCTCTCGTCTAGTATAAAATGGCGAAGATCATTCTGAGTGATCAAGGATGACAACGGACCTAGAAGAACCAACCGCTGTAAGGATTAGCGCATGTGAAGCAATATAAATGGAGAAAATAGACGACTCTGATTAAATTTGGTCACTAAAAGCACCACATAAACAAAATTACCAGGATAGCTATCGGACCAGTAGATGGATCCGGTGGCTGGAACATACAAGGTAATATGAACACTTTTCGGTTTCATTGCTGACACATAAGTATATTCACCTACGGCATGGCTGATCTTCCCTTCCATCTTTGTCTGAGAGATATAAATTGCATAACCAGTGCAGTCGAGTACAGGACTGACTTGGATCACTGAGTCCACTGCGGTTGTTATTGAGAATTTCTTGAGAATCCCGGTTGGTGAAAATGAGTATAGGAACCCATCTAAGGAACCAATAGATATCCAACCTGTTATATGTGATGAAGCAGCAAAAAAAAACAGCTAATCAATTCATTGTGAGTTATGACAAGCGGAATTTGGGAAAGTTCGTATACAGAAACATAGAGCTACTACCATTAGAATCAACAATCGGCGTGTAATCTGAGTTACTTAATGGACCAATAATTCCCTCCCACAACACATTTCCTGAAGAAACATCTAGCGCCAACAATAGAGCCTTGACTGGTACAGTAACATACAATCTACCGTTGTTTCCAGCGGTTATAGTGAAAACTTTATCGTAAGAACTTAAATCCTGGATCCATTTGAAGTGAGGACTACGAATTGATAGCGAGTAGATCTCACCTTCAGTATTCGAGATCTGCAAATTAATAACTTCGTCTTAAGAACTTAATGCTGTCACATGGTAAACTGTTGATTCAACCAAAAAATTGAAAAATATACATAAACATGTCCTTACATATATACTAGCCTCGCATTCATCAATCACAGGGACGGAGTTGAAATAACAATCTGCATTGTTCTTCCTACAACCTTGGCGATAACCAAATAGTTCGATGACAGGTCCTGCACTCCAGACCAACTGCCCCCGTGTCATGTACGCAAAGAGTCCCCGATTTTGGACAGTTACAAAGATAGATGAACTCAATGTGCTAACTGCAATCCCAACAACCCCACCTTGTTCGTCTTTCGTTGGCTCAGTACTTAGCAAAACTTGTGCAGACGGTTCAGAAGTTCCATTGTTCAACAAATTGATTTTAATCACCTTGTTACCTGCAACCAGATATATCTGCCGAAGCAGTTTCACAAATAAACAGCTTTTTTCAAAAAGTGCTTTCAAAACTTGAACCACACTCCAGACGTCATATTCAAGCAGCCTTTATACATGACGAGAAGCGCTTTCAAATAACCAAAAGCGTTTCCATAAAAAAAAAAACAAGTTGAAAATGTTGGTCTTTCCCATGAATACCGCCTTGTCACTGCTTCCTACAGATGCCGGAGCAGACATTTTCAAGAAACGCACGTACCTTTCCTCTACCACCGTGGACCGGAGCCATATCGGACTTGCAGGTATAGTTCAAATGCATGGTCCAAGCAATGGACCCGTTGGATTCAAATGCAAGTAAATCTTTGTCAGAGCAAGCATAAACCTTCCCATCACGTCCGATTAGCGGTCTCGAAAGCCGACCACGAGAACTTGTTCTTCTACTCGGATCATTAACTGAACAAAACAGAGAACACAGTAAGTAATAAAAATATCCAGCAAATGGTTTCAAAGGCATAACTTTTAGATTAGAACACGAAAAAAAAGAGAAAAAAAAACAGAATTCCAGCACCTGGGTTATCCTGGAATTGCGTAGTTTGAGAATGGGTGGGTATCAAAAGGACCATTGTCAACAAGAACACAACTTCCATTGCAGAAATTGCAGACGAAAGATGTAAATGTGAGAAAATGAGAGAGAGAGAGAGAGAGAGCTTTTGCTCTGGTTGGTTTGAAAGGAAAAAAAAACCGCTCAGAAGCGTTTTTGCTCTGTTTTGGTCGTGCCATTTATCTGGGCCAGGTTTTTTTAGTATGGTGGAAAACGTATGCATCAGTAATTTGGATTTTTATCCAACGGCTACAAATAGGGTCCCTTTAAAGTTATAATAATTATAATCGTTGGATAAAAATCCAACGGTCCATTATTAGTGATTAGGAGGATCCTCTCCATTCAGGAGAGGATCCAAATCCCTAAAAAAAATGGACAGGCTTTACAGGCAACAACGGCCGAAGCCCATATTGTTTTCCTGGCTCTGGGGTCTTAAACCCTTTCTTTTACCCTGTACAGGTCTGCCTTCCTCCTCCCCCTTCTTGTCTGCAAGTCTCTCAAGAGTCTCAGCGTTCCCTTCCCACCATTGATTGGTAAGCTCTTAGTTCTAACTTTTAATTTCACTCTCTGAACTCAATTTCCATTTTTCATTCGATTTCTTCATCTGGGTATATCTAGAAACTTCAGTTTTTCGATTCTTCGAAGCTAATTGTTGGGTTGTTCAATCTGGATGGTTGTGTTCTCTGCTGCAATCTCATAATATTTTGAAAATTGGAATGTCTCAATTTGCAGTATTTGAAATTTTCGTTCATGTCTGTAATCCGAAAGAAAAAATAATATATTTTCATTTCTTAGCTTGATCTGATTGTGTGATGTTCAACACTCGATTTTGTAATTCCAAAATGTTATCTTTTGCTTTGGTTGTGGACTTGTTGTTTAGAAATGTAATGGGAAACGCGCACTGATGGAACCCGCGACGAATGTTGAATGAAAAATAGAACTCGAAGGACACTAAGTAGTGAATCAAGGGGTACTAAATCGTGGTTTATATACGGCTTATTGCTGGTTTGGTGTTTTTATTTTTGTTTCGGAGTTTGTAACCGGTTGTATTTGTTCGTATTTCTCAAAGATAATCGGTGCTGATTGACATGCTCAGATTATACGTCTGATGTGTAACATGTATTGTAATGTAGATGGCTTTTCAGGGTGCTCCAATTTCGAATCCAATAGATCTAATCTCTGTTCTATGTACATTGTTGCAGGGATTTCGATTGCGAAATTGTGTGTGAACATTGAGGAATGGCAACCGAGGAAAAGGGAGAAGAATTGCAGCAAACCACAAGTCCCCAAGCTGCAGCTGGTTTGAGAGGAGCGGTGGAAGCAAAGTACCGGCAAATCAAAGAGCATGCGGAGACCTACCCCTATGTTTGGGCTTCCTACATTGTTGTATATGGTGGTTTTGCCCTCTGGGGTACCTACAGATGGAGAAAGCTTCGCAAGACTGAGGACCGTGTACGTGCGCTTCAGGAGAGATTACGCAAGCATTATGCAGCGGAAGAGGCTTCTGCTGGCTCTTCCACCCCAGCTATTAAGGTTCCACCATCTGCTGATAAAATCTCCAAGTAGGTAGCATTGATCAATGCTTTTCAGGTTTACTTTCCCCCGATAAAGAAAATTTTGCTTCGATTATGAACACAGATTGCTTGTGACTTTGTATGGATGAGAATTGAATCCAAATGCGTCCTACTCAGTAGGTTAGGGTTAAATGTTAGAAGTTAATACTTATGTTCAAAACTTATGTAAACAGGTTCTTATATGCTAATTTTTGTAACACTCCACTGTCATTTTATCCGATGGTGACTTTCCATTTTCCCGAAAGATATTAGGTGATTGTATTGACGTTGAAACAGAAACGCGAAGAATAATGTATGATGCACTGAACTTGAAGGCAGTGTGTTGCAGCGTAGCTCACGGTTCTTGAACGTGTTTTTCTTTCCTATCGGAGTACATTCGCTTTCAATTTGAATTATTTCCCTGTTTCTCTTGGAGCTGTTTCAGCTGGAATAGGTAATGAAAGGCAAACGAGATGTTATGCCAAAGCACAATTCTGCCTGAAACAACGTAGAAACTGATTTATTTGCACCTTAAAGAATCACCACGAATGGCAACAATGTGTTCTGTGAATAACAAAAGGAAACTGTTTAATACAGAAACCAAGTAAAGACCGCCCGCTAATCTAGTTTTGGCGTTTTAAATCTACATTAACGGACAACAAAAACAAATTCTTCCAATCATGTAAAACAATTGGATTACAAGGAGAGAGACATCTCTAGATATCCGAGGCTACCGATCTCTGTCTTCGATATATTCAACTCGAGGATTATGATGGAGCAACCTCATCAAAGTGAACATGTTGTAATGTCTTCTGAATAATCTAGATCTCCGCGAGCTGATCGAAGCCTCTCCTTTGCATGGACATAATTGGTTTTCAATAGTGACAAGTGTGCAAGGCCTAAAAGGGGCTGATGCAGCGTGCCAACTTCAACAAGAGCTCTGGAACAAGGCGCCTTCTCGGAGGTGCAATAGCATCTTGCTCAAGAGCTTCGGTATCACCAGCATGTATCACGGAAACTAGTTGGTCAAACAATTCATCTTTGCCGCCTCTTAGAGGATCCTAGAAAGTGCAGCTAAGAGTCAGATGCGTATAAAGGAATTCCCGCTATCCTATTTCAGATTGCTATCAAAGAGTCTGAACTGTAAATGACTGTAAGTTCATAAAAAGCGAATAGTGATAGTTGTAAAAAGCTCACATCCCAAAATCACTTACTTGAAGAAACAAATCTGTATGAGTCTTTCCATCATATAGTATTAAGTCAGCTTTAGCTCCTGCCTTCTGAAGCACGTCCACAAAAACCTTACTGCACATAAAGACACATTGTTTACTGAAAATATCACACCATGATCTTCTGCAGAAAAGTTTCAGTCGTATTCAGACGGTCTGTATCAAGACGGACCAAGTTGAAGCTTTCTACTAAAGGCTAAATATTTCTTTCAAGGTCTGAACGTGTACCGTGCAGATATAATAGAAAGAGCAAACGTCATGGATGACAGGCGTTATATCCAATTTACTTTAAGAAACATGTTTGGATTCAATTTTTAGGAGGCATAATATGCTAATGTAATATTAGACATCTACATAATAATTTCCTATATTCCTCGGAAGAATATGAACGCAGCATTAAATTAAAGGGAATTTATATACCGTCAAGATACACGTTATATCTGGGGCATTCTAACCTGGCGTCAGATGGTATCGAATAATCTGCAGTTCCATGGAAAAGAGTGATAGGAGGCAATAGAGAAACGGCATTCCTATTGCTTGGGTCGTTTACTTTAACTTCAGGAGAAAACTGATGTAAGGATTCTTCACCTTCCATAATGCTGCATGACACATCAAAACAAAAGAATCAGCAAGTAACAAGCAAGAAAAAATTACAATATAATTGATATGAGTATGCCAAAGAATGGCTAGCAACACATCATATGGTAAGTACCTCAAAAAGATGGAACGATATAGTCCACGATTATGGAAATGATCAACTAAATTAAACAAATTGTACCTGTGAGGAGAATAAAAGAAGATTAGTATACCCATCCAAACCCGTCAACAGATCCATCTAGATAGTACTAAAGCAACTACTGGTCATCAGTCTCTGATGGAGCTTGATACTACAATGACCCATGCATGTAGTGCAGATTCATCTAAATTGTACCTGTGTTTATACGGACAATTACATGATCAGATGGGATGATTTCTTTCCACTATCATATAACATGTGTACCAGTATTTATGTTTCTAGAAGTTTTGAAATTTTCTAGCCTATTTTAAGACATATTTGGACCTTTTTGTGAAGCCACATTCTCGCAATTGTTGCATCCAATTCATATTTTTCCCTTTCAAATTCAGTAAAGTTTCAGTTGATTCACAATGATGAAGCAAATAGATCTTTACCCGCCAGATAAACCAAAATAAGCCTTTATCTGGGAGACGCTCCAAGAAATGCTTTCTTCCTTCTTAGCTTCTTTGATTGCTTGATCCAAGAGAGCACAAGCAGAAATATGCGCACCAGCAGATTGTCCCATTAGATAGATCCTACTCAAAACAATCACAAAACGACTATAATAAATGAATATATATATATATATATATATATAATATGTATATATATATATACACACACACACAATCAGTTTCGAGATGCACAAGAAAGGAAAGAACGAATATTAGTATGTCACCTATTAGGGTCACCTCCATAATCTGCTATATTGTTGCAGACATATGAGATCCCCTGAGAAGCATCTTTCACCATATCACTGATGGTACCTTGCGGAAAGTTTCTGCATGAATCATATAATTCATATCAACAACACTTGTAGAGTAAAGGACATACCGGAAGTGTATAATTGTTCATTTGAGTGACATGACACAGCCTTCAATGCGCAAAACAACAAACTTTACATAACCAAAGGTTCCCTTTAACTTTTACAAAGCCAAAGCTTGGTGAACCAAAATGAATACTTTAACGTTTGAATGCATCACTCTAATAATAGACACAGTGGACATGGTGTCTACAATTTTTTTCCAAATACTTCATCTAAAGCACCATATATAAGTTAAAGTAATGACACATTATAACTTGCACTGCTTAAACTGAAACCAATTACCTGTAATCAACGCATGCCACAATGATGTCTCTTTCAGCCAACTGCAGACCTAAAAGGGAACCCCAAGCTTTATACCTACATCAGCACGAAACTATAGAAACTTAATGTCAAATAACTAAATAAATGGCCACATATATATAACCAGAAACTTCACCTAAAGATGTTTTGCATGATCCCCAAAAAACAAAGAGAATATCATCTCCAGGCCGTTGCACCAATTCATGAAAGAAACTTATAAGAATTGCTGAAGTAACAGCTCTCATCTATTTAAAATCACTCACCCAATAATCCAGGCTCCACCAGTTACAAATACCACTACCGGCTTTTTTCCATCACTATTTGCAGGTAAATATAGATCCAACCTGTAAATGATACATGACATAAATGGGGTCGCAGAATTTGAAAAATCTAAATCAACTGTTTAATTTCCTTTCATAAAATCCACCTACCTATTTCTTGGTTGATCTCCATACACAATACTACGCCAGACCTGGCTTGAAAAGAAATAACATATTGCAACTGAAGAAAAGTAAACAATCAAGTTATGTTCTGGTTAAATGCACAAGAGACTATTCACTACATTAACTGATTAATATAATAAAACAAAGAAAATTAGAAACTCTCATCATATGTCAAGCAAACAAATCTATGTTCAAGAAGTCGGCCATGTCAAAGAATATCATGGCACAGTAGTGTGAAATCTACGGACATAACACTACTGAAGTCTTAACGACGGGAATACTGATGTACATCAACAACAATAATCAAACTAGGAGCCTTTTCCGAAAGACTATGATGGTGCAAAACCCTATCCAGGAGGCAAGTTCTTTCTTCGATTAGCAACAAATCAAACCAATCGCATCTTTCTTATAATTCGAGCAGCAGGTACTATGATTTGACGAAATATAAAACAAATAACGAAAAGGGTTTATATTAGCAATGAATGTGTAAGAGCAAGTAGTTACATAAACACACAAACCTTGAAGAAATCCTGGCATAAGTAACATAGCATAGCAACCAAGAGCAAGCAATCTCGTCATCCACCGGTAGCCTACCCTGAATCAAAATATATAATTAGAAAAAACAAAAACTTGCATTTTTCAGCAAAAATTAACAATAATTGAACACAAAAATTCCATACAACTTAGAAATTTGATACTCTGGTTTTTGTTCTATAAATCCATTTTCTTTCGGTTTCCCACAATTTTCTCGGCAACCAAACAGAGGTTCAATTTAAATCCAATCATTCACCAAGTAAAGCTAGGAGGAGCTAAAGAAGAAGAAGAAGAACGAATACCCGAGGTATCGAAGGAGCGTGAAGCTGAGGCTAGTAATCAAGTAAGTCTCCTTGGCAGCGTGGCCGATGTCGCGGCTGAAAGACTGCTGCCGACGAGTCAGCCGCCGGGGGGCGGTGGAGGCGAATTTCTCGGCGAGCCTGCGACGCCTCTTGTGGCTCGATGTATTGGTATTAGCAACAGGATAGCTCAAAAACCTACAAAGGAAGGGCTTCGATGCGTCGGCATCTTCCGCCATGTCTTCCGCCGCGGAAAAGGAAGATTGCCGGAGAAGACGATCGGTTTCCGACGCCATAGCTGCCGGGTAGTGGGTATACAGCTGGACGATGAAAGCTCCAATCTTTTCAATCAATCAATTAACTTTTTTAGTAAAAGAAATGGATCTGAAATTGCTTTTTAAGCTTTTTTTGGTGATTTGCTAATTTCGGCGGACATTACTTTTACTATTTACCGTTAAACCGTTAATTTTGAAGCTCCCGGAAGATTTCTCCAGAACCGTGGAACCTGAAGCTACCAGAAATTAAAAATTAAAATTGCATTTAAAAAAAATAAATATTCAGGCCACCATTTCTGCTCATTCATTTTATTTTCCACGCCATTTATTCCTTTGGGTAGCATCTCTCATTTAATTCTGACATCCATGATAGGAAAGAGATCCCGAAAAAATCTCTTTCATATAAGATAAGATAATATTTTCAAAAAAAAGATGTTCGCATATAAATTTCATTGAAAAAATATTCTCTCAATAGATCAAGATTCAATTTTTTTTATGTAGACGCAATATTAAAAGGGAAAGAGCACTTCGCTTTAGCCTATGTTACTCCACATCTACAATTAGAGATTTTTTACGGTGCTTCGAAATATTGGATACTTCGAGCAATTTAACTGGTAGATTATTTTCATAAAAAAACACAATATTAGTATGTAACTGTTAAAAATCTTTAGATATCGTCATATACTCTGAAACATCATAGATATCGTACTTGGGCGAAATCTATATGGTAATTGGTAAAAAGAGTTTGTAGTCCATCAGAATCGGCATTTGGATGAATAAAATCCACTTGAGAAAAATAACTCGATATACTTTTTATCCATCTGCAATCCAAATGAGTTTCGACAAATTCAGTATATCAGACGTCGGTTTTTTCTTTTAGCTAACAAGAATTCAAGCGAATTTCCATCGACGTCCTTCTCCAATCTCATCTTCTTCTTCCGAGTCTCTGATTCTCTACCTCTACTGCAACGACCAACTCTGGACAGCAGAGAGGGGAGTTCCCAAGAACGCCGAGTCTCTGATTCTCTACCTCTACCGCAACCACCATCTCTGGACAGCAGAGAGGGGAGTTCCCAAGAACGGGGTGTAGCGGTGGATGAGAGGATGAACTATCCTTCCGATCTTGGTCCACACGCTCAGATGGTAGTTAGCAGTCACTGGGGCATGATACATGAGCTTCAAGAGCTGTAAAAGGTATTACAGACGAAACTCATTAGGCTCTGCTAAGAGTTTGAGATATTCGCGAAAAATGAACGTATTGAAATCAACTTTTTACATCACTAATGCACTTCTCGACTCCAAAAATTACCAAGATCTTGACCTAAACTGACAAAAAATTACTTGTCGAGTGAGCCTACGCTTGCAGAAAATGATATCTCCATCTCTATAATTAATAAGAAGAATAATGTTTGCAAGGGGCACCGACTCGGTGCATAGTTTCAAGTGCTTTTATCCATTTGTGTGTTTGTGGCGTGCGTGTTCAACATAATTGAAACAATTTAGCTTCAGGAACACAGATGCCGCTCCATAATGATAAGAAAAGAACGGAAACGCACCTGCCAGTACATGAATGCCTGTACAATGTTGCGTTGCCACCTACCAAAATACATCACAAATTAAGAAATGCTAGAAGTGAAAAGCATAATGACAATGGAATAAGAATGTGTCCGTGACTAGAAAAATGCAGCACAGAATATGGTTCAAAGCAACTTACGAGAACAATGAAATAATCAGAAGGAAGCCAACTCCGATCTCAGCATGTGAAGAAAGTATGCTGAGGGTAGTTGTATTTGACTCCACCCAAACACAAAGCCTTTCCAGGTACTTCCTGTTCACCATGGCAGAAGAAAAGATATCGCTCAGTAAAGAAAACAGGTAGATTTAAACTCAATGCTGGTAAGGTACTATTCATTTAGATTGGACCGAACATCAAACCAAAAGTAAATGCGCTCCAAAAATCTTGAAAACTATCCTGATGCCCAGCATCAGAATTAGCAATTCACAGCGTCGTAAAATTGGATGCAAATAACAGAGGTTAAAATGAAATACTACTATCCCCATGGGAGCAGGTATCTAACACAAGTAAATATAAAGCAACATTATTGAACATCAACTCTTCTACCTGTACAAGGAGGATTGACTAAAATTGCGCCTAAGGAACTTGGCAACGTGCTCAAGAGCCCGACACAGAATGGGAATCAGTGCGACTGCAATAAACATCACATCATTAGACTCGACATGCCAAGAACATGAGTCCGACTTAGTTCGAAAACATATAAGAAAAGAGAAGACAAAACTTGAGGATTATGGAATGCTTACATTTTAGGCAAAGGTGTGATGTGACAAAGGTAAGGCAGTACATCAAGTAGATAAAATCCTTAGTCATGATAATTGACTGAAAGTACACTTGAAAAGCCTGCAAGTTCCAAGCCCTTGGTTTCTGAAAAGTAAAGGGTGCGTTAATCAAATATGAACAAGGACAGCACATCCAAGTTAATGAAATAAGAAAGCATGTGATTGAATCTGAGAAAGTAGATTTACCCCGTAGAGTGAGTACAAGGAATACAGAGATGAACATGCAGTGCCCATAAAGGAAAGCCGATATGCCCTATGTGAAAGGTTTCTAGGCACCAGTGGGAAAATTGCAAACACAGCCACAAGAAACACCTGCAGGGAAGAAAGACATACAAAAGGAATCAATAACAACAGACATATATTAAAATGTAAGCAGAACTTAGCAAGACGCCATTGTTAACAGCAAGTTTTGGATTCAAAAGAAGCACACATATTTGTCATAGAGAAGGACCCTTGCCCAACTGGCCAAGAATAACATTACAGCAGTTCAGTTGCATTTGAAAAACCATAGAGTCAAAAGTAAAACATAAACTCTAACCTACAGAAAACTGTTATTGAGATTGTCCATAGAGAACATGGTTGAAGGGAACAAGATAAACTGTGAAGGTCAATAACAAAGAAAAACTACAAGAAGTCCCAACATTTCTTCAAAATCAGGCTGATTTATAAACATCATACGCCTTATAAGGAAAGAGTTTGACAGACAGATACGAAAATAAAAACAAATCTGATTCTATCAATGCATGAGTAGACTTGACAGTACCCAAGCGTTTACAGAAAACTGAATGGTTTTTCGATCCCAACGCAGAGAAGTTGGAGGAGCTGCTGCTGGTGTCCCTGGAGTTCTGGGAGTTGAACCTACAAACACCAATTCAAGGTCAATTAACTATAATCAACAAATTCCAGGCTACTGAAAGCAACTACAGTTTTATTTTGAGATAAATTTCATTTCTTTTAAAGGAAACAGCAATTTTGGTATATCCAAATTTTTGTACCGAAAAATGAAAGCATCCCAACCTGCGCTACGGGGCTGAGTTTGGTCATTTGTCGTCCGGGACGAGGCAGATGGTCCGTTTGGCTGGGCAGAACTGCTAGATGACATCACGTCTACCATAAGTTCAGGATCCTATTCACAAAATCCAGGTACAAACTTTGTCAAGGTGCACAGAATTAAAAAAAAAATCTAAAAAAATCCATGCATCTCCGACCAAATTACTTTCCCCGAAACATTCACCAAGAAGGCACTCTTAAACAATGATAAAACCACAAACTGAAACCCCTAAAGCATAATTCTTCAACCAAATGTTGACTTTAAAGTTGCACTCATGTGTCAAAACTCTTCCTTTTGAAAACAAAAATAGAAAGATCTCACTTTTACTCAGAAATCTAAAAAGAAAAGAATTGAACTTAATGAACAATTGGAAAAGCTACTGAGTTCTGCATAAACTTTCCATAATCGAAACCCAAAATTGAAAAAGCTACTGAATTCTGCCTGAACTTTCCAAAATCGAAATCCAAAAGCAAAATCAGTAATCCAAATTATCAATTCATCATCAAACAAAGAAACAGAGTACAAAAACCAAAATTACCCAATTGAAAAAAAGACCCCAATTGCACAAAACAGAAGAAACCCAACTGAGATTCAAGTGTTCAGAGTCCAAATTCGAAGAAACAAATGCTAATCAACAACCAATTAATAGTGAGTAATCACTCAAATTAAAGAAACTGCACAAGGAAGAGAGAAAGACAGAGTACGGACGATAAAGCGTTGGTAGAACTTGCGCTTAAAATGGTCGACGACGTCGCTGCGAGAGGACATGTGAGGAGGGATGAGGATGTTGGACCAGTAGTCGGCCCACCTGGGGTCGTTCTCGTAGTCGTAGGCCGCCGCCGCCGCTCTCTTGAGCTGCTGTGGGTCCTCTCTCTCTCCCCCCATTTCTTCACTTCTTGATTTCTCGATCGCTTGATCGATTGATTTGATTCCTCTCGTTCCTCCTTTCGAATTTCGATCACACACACACACATTCACACTAGTTGGGGACTGTTTGTTTTCTTGCTGCGCAACCGAACTCTCCACTCTCCTGTTCCTTTCTCTCTCTTTATCTTTGCCTACGGATTACCCGACTGTCAACGACGTCGTTTCGAGGACGTTTTCTTAATGTTAGGTGAGCTGGGCTTTTGGGTTTACCACAGATCTATTAGCTCCAACAAGTTTTGGACACGTGGCACCAAATTTTACCCGTTTGTTTTGAATATTTCCTTTCGCTTTGTCAAGTAGTAATGTGCTTGGATGTTGAAATCTAAGATTATAAAGAATTTTAAAATGACGGAAATAGAAATAATGAATTTTTAGAATTTGAAAATGTCACCCGCATTGAATTTAAATTTGGAAATTGGAGGTTTCAAGTTTAAAGGTTTTTTTTTCACGCAGAAATTCTAAACTGTTATGTTTATAAATCCAAATAAGGGAATTGGTGCATATCAATTTATAAATTCTGACTTCTGTCAAAATTTTTAATTTATTTTCTTCATCCAAACATAGTTCAAGGTTATTTATTAGAAACTGTTGGTCGCACTTCAAAAAAATTTATAAAAAAAATAAAAGAAATGACATATACCTTTTTTTTAACAAACAATGTAAGGAGAGTGGGCTAAGCCTCACGACGGGCTAGCAATAATGTGGTTCAAATTTGTTTTTGTGCGAGAATCGAACATAAGACCTCTCACTTACAAGTGAAGAAATATATTATTATATCACAACACTAAGTGACAAGAAAACGTTTTTAAAGTGTCGATAATAATTCTCTAAATTAAATGTTATTAGCTTATAGTAAAAAGACTCGTACATTGAGACCTATTTCAAGTAGAATTGTGCTATCTACGCACTCACTTTTACTTTCTACACACATTTTGTTAATTCCTATCATTTGATCATCTTCAATTCACTCGAACTGACGGTCGAAAATTGAAAAATATGTGTAAAAATAAAAATAAAAAGTGTGTGGATAGCACCACTTTTTCAAGTGCTTGCAACAAATGGGATGGCTAGTCTTGCATAAAATATCCCATCCATCCAATCAAAAATAAGAAGAAAAAACACAAAAATGCTTTCACAGTATAACGAAGGGTACTCAATTATCAAGGACCAAAGGGCAATAATTTTGTTTTAGCTCTCTCTCTCTCATGATGCAGCCAAGTGCCTCCACTACTTGCAAGACAACTTTTGTGAAGCTCCAATCAATCTGGCAAGCTTTGCATTGCTAAGCATGCTTTGTACTTCTTCATCTGTTTCTTCACCCAAGTCCTCAAGTCCTTCTCCTGATAACAACCCATGAATCTTCAATCCATTCTCTAACTCAATGGCTTCAGCCATTTTTGTTACAACCTTCCCAAAGCTGAGGTATCGCCCGCCGGCGCCATGGTCCATCGCTTCATAAACGCAGACATGCGCCTCAGCCGCCTTCTTCACGTCCTCCACAGCTAGGCGACCGTGTTTGAACATTGCCTTGCCACCTATAGAAAGAGTGTAAAAACATGCAAAAATAAGTATTGGATGAGAAGTTCTCTTTATCACACAATCTGACATGTTAAGTTGTTGCTGCTAAAATGTGTGGTCTCATGTTAAAATGTTGAGACTGTTTGGCGAGAGAATTTGTCTCATTTTTAAGATCTTTGATACGTAGAACGAAAGGATTTGCCTTTAAGATATGGTATGGAAGTGGATATGTGAGCATTTGGATGAGATGCATCCATTAGGAGGCCAGGGCACACAGTAACAAGATTGACTTTCATTTCCTTGGACTTCCTCCAACAAGCCATCTCTGCTGTGGTCTTCCCTAGGGCTAACCAAAGCTATCAGTCAAAGTAAAATGATGAATTTGTTAAAATTATTATTTGGTGCGACCAATTAGCAAATACAAAATTCACTCAAAGGCCCTCAAAGTTTTTATATTTATATTTGCATACCTTGTTTTCTCTGCAGAAATCCACATTGGTCCAGCTATACTCATCGATGATCTTCTTTTCTTCATAGTTTTCACCTGTCCAGATGGCAGCAAGGAGAGAGGAAGTGAAGATGCATCTCTTTGCATATGCTGCCCTCCCACAAGCTTCAATTACATTTCTTGCCCCTTCAGTTTCAAGAAATGCCATTTTTTCCTGATCAATAGTTTAATATTGTGCAATACCTCAGAAAAGTATTATAAACTAGTCCAATCTACGAGGAGGTGAATCAAACTCGGTTCAAAGAAACGAGCACATTGCTTTGACAAACTTACCGAATAACCGGAGATACCATGTGGATCAATAAAAGAGGAGGTGTGAAAAATTGCATGGCAACCTCTAAAGGCATCACAGAGACTATTCAAATCACCCATCTTTGCCACAACCACGCACTCCAACTGGCTTATCTCTTCACCTCTCATTAGCTTCTTCATGTCCTCAAAATCCACTGCCCGCAGCACATAGTTTGAGAAAACAAAACCAAAACCAAACATGGTAAGCCAAAAACGAAATTTCGAGGGTCATGCGCGAAATATAAATGGGTAAGTACCTTCGTTTTGAATGGTAACTCGGACCAAATAACCCCGGGCCAATAGAGCCCTAACTATGTTAGAACCCAAGTGAGAATTCCCACTGGTCACACAAACCAGCCTCCTATCTCTTGCATCTAAACTGCAGCTGAATGCATTTTTGACACAGATTTTATGTTCCTCCCCTGAAGAGGACATCAAATGTTTTGGGACTTCCATTTCTTCCATTGCCATCTCTCTCTCTCTCTCTCTCTCTTATTTTCTCTCTCTAAAGTCTCATGCAACACTAGATATAAACAACAATAGCGGCTCAAAAGGGATGCAGCTTTCTATTTTTTGCGATGGTAGTTGGAGAAGATTAGATGAAAGCACGAGGGTAGTAAGTAAACTGTGACACTTCTCTGTTCGTCAAAACCCAACTTGGTTGTTAGTACATTTGGCAAACTTTGATTGGCCAAAAATCATATTCTTTGGAAGGTTGCACCTGCGTCCAGAATTTTTCATATTTTAAAAATAATACCGTTAAGCAAACAGTTATATTTTATTCTATATTTGTGGTTGACGTGTCGCCCCGAATAAAAAGTTAGGGTTGTGATTTTCACACAACCTTAACTACTTTTCTCGCACCCCTTCCTATTTTTTAATACTTAATTGGTATCCTACATTTAATCTTCCATATATATCCTTCCTACTTTTTTATGGTAATTAATGAAGGGGTGTGATATCCACACATCTCATTTTACTTCTCACACACCTTTTTAATTTTTGACCGTCGGATCGAATGAATTGAAGAAGATCAACGGACATAAATTATCATGGAATATGTGAGAAGTAAAATGGGGTGTGTGGATAGTACACCCCTTAATGAAAGATTAAATAGGGAGGGGTATATATGGAAGATTAAATAGTAGGATACCAATTAAGTATTTAAAAAATAGGGAGGGTGTGGGAAAAGTAGTTAAGGGTGTGTGAAAATCACAACCCAAAAGTTATTCCGATTTTTCTTTTGATACAAGAAATGGAGTAAGGATCCTCTTTGTGAGGATTCGGGAATTCTCAAATCATATATGTTCATCGTACATCATACGGTTAGAAATTATTATAAATTTTTTATTTAAAATTGAATATAAACAGTACCTGACGAAAACTAACTTCACAATGCATGATGAATGAATGTAATTGGAGGATTCGGCGATGATCTCTCTCCAAGAAATGAATGTTGGATGGTGGGATTGAGATTGGTACTATAAATAGAGTTTTCAACAATAATGCATTTGGAGTCCACACCGTCCCACTTTATTTTGATCTTACGTCTTAACTAAATGGCAAAAACAAAATATATACAAGTGCCGGTCATCAATAACTAGGAGATAGGATATAGATTTCAATGTTAATGCATGCAGGAGTTTTCACCGTTAATGCATGTGGAGCCCACACCATCCGACTTTATTTTGATCTTACAACTGAACTAAATGGCAAAAATAAAATATATACAAGTGTCGATCATCAATAACTAGGAGATAGGTATAGATTTCAACGTTAATGCATGCAAGAGTTTTCACCGTTAATGCATGTGGAGCCCACACCATCCGACTTTATTTGATCTTACAGCTGAACATTGAACATAAATGGCAAAAATAGGAGATAGGTATAGAGTGTCGATCATCAATAACTAGGGAGATAGGTATAGATTTCAACTGTTAATGCATGCAAGAGTTTTTCACCGTTAATGCATGTGGAGCCCACACCATCCGACTTTATTTTGATCTTACAGCTGAACTAAATGGCAAAAATAACATATATACAAGTGTCGATCATCAATAACTAGGAGATAGGTATAGATTTCAACTGTTAATGCATGCAAGAGTTTTCACCGTTAATGCATGTGGAGCCCACACCATCCGACTTTATTTTGATCTTACAACTGAACTAAATGGCAAAAATAAAATATATACAAGTGTCGATCATCAATAACTAGGAGATAGGTATAGATTTCAACGTTAATGCATGCAAGAGTTTTCACCGTTAATGCATGTGGAGCCCACACCATCCGACTTTATTTTGATCTTACAGCTGAACTAAATGGCAAAAATAACATATATACAAGTGTCGATCATCAATAACTAGGAGATAGGTATAGATTTCAACTGTTAATGCATGCAAGAGTTTTCACCGTTAATGCATGTGGAGCCCACACCATCCGACTTTATTTTGATCTTACAGCTGAACTAAATGGCAAAAATAAAATATATACAAGTGTTGGTCATCTATAACTAGGAGATAGGATATAGATTTCAACGAATGCATGCAGGGCCCGCATTTTATCTTATCTTAATCTTAGCCACATGGTCGAGGAGAAAAAAATATTTCAACTACTTGTATCATAACATTTGATGCACCCGTACATTGAAAAGCTATAATGCATGTATTTGGAGAGAAGGATAATTCAGATAAAATTATATATTTCAAATAAGATACATACAATATACTGTATCAATGAATCAAAATCACAAAAAGAACACAGAAATTGGGATCCTGTCAACAAAATCATGTTAGCAGAGAACACAAAAATAAATGGAAAATGATATGATTTGTGTAAGATTTACAAGAAATGAGCAACACAACACAGCCTACCCTGGCTCAAACGGTTGGTTGAACTCTCAGTTGTTCCATATCCCAGATCTATCTATGGACATCGCGGTACTGGGGTTTCTCGGGTCTCTCTGGTCTCGACTCCAGCTGCTCTGAGTTTGATCCCCGTGCTCCCTAGAGTCTCTACTCGCCCAGCTTCTCTGATTTTGGTACCCTTGCTCTCGGGAGTCCCTACTTTTCCAGCTGCTCTGACTTTGATTGAAAAAACTCGTACTGTTGTCTTCACTGCCGAATGCCATCCTCTGAAACATTCTAATTTGTGCAGAGTGTTCTGCAGAATTAAAGATTTCGCTCTCGCCAGGTTTCATTCCATTACTGAGATCTGAGAATTCATCCAAGGAGTCGAAAGCCCTTACCACCTAGCATAGCGGGAAAGATTATTAGTTCTCTGCAGTCGAAATAAAATGTGGGCAAGTGTCATCCAATATTCTGTAGGTACCTGTCTCATTCGTGGCCTTTTCGTAGCTGAATGACGCACACAAGCTGAAGCCGCCTCAATCATTCTAAACATTTCATTCTCGACGTAATTCTTTTCCAGCCTTGGATCTGCCAACCCTTCTAAATCTTCACCTTCTAGTGCTTGACTAAGCAAAGGTCGAGCCTGCAGGAAACTTTAGATGTTATAATCTAGGACTTAACCGTGCTAGATAGAACCACAACAATCCATCAAAGTGTTAGCATACAACGACAACACAACACAACAAAGCCTTTTCCGGCTGTGGGGGATGCAACACGAGGACTTCCCATGAGATCACCCATCCTAGTACTACTCTCGCCCAAACGCGCTTAACTTCGGAGTTCTGATGGGATCCGGTGCATGTGAGTTGGTATGATCACATCCCAAGGATTTGACGTAAGATAGGAGTGCAGACTGTCTGACTATCAAAGTGTTAGCATAAAACAGGTAAAATCTCCACCTTGAACATGCCCAACGGAAAGCAACTTTTTGACTTCAGCCGTTTGAGAATTTTCAGTCATTAGACTTGATTGATGGATGAGTTAACAGGACATATTCAAGATGTTATTCCTTGGTGTATGCTTTTCGCAGACGATATAGGGTTGATAGATGAAACTCAGGAAGGGGTAAATGCGAAGCTTAACCTTTGGAGAGAAGTGTTGGAATCTAAAGGTCTTCGCCTAAGCCGATCAAAGACAGAATATATGGAATACAAGCGGGATGGATGAAGTGGAAGAGTTGCGTGTTGTGTGACCGTCGTATGCCACTGAAGCTCAAGAGAAAATTTTATAGGACGGCAATAAGGTCGACGATGTTGTATGGTACAGAATGTTGGGCGGTGAAGCATCAACAAGTACACAAAATGGGTGTAGCGGAGATGAGGGTGCTTCGTTGGAGGTGTGGGCTCACAAGAAAGGATAAGATTAGGAATGAGTGGGTTGGACATGTGCAAAGAAGGCCTACTGACGCTCCGGTTCGAAGATGTGACTACGGGACAGAGGTTCAGGGCCGAAGGGGTAGAGGAAGACCTAGGAAAACTTTGGAAGAGACCCTAAGAAAAGACTTAGAGTACTTGGATCTAACGGAGGACATGACACAAAACCGAGCGCAATGACGTTCTAGGATTCACATAGCCAACCCCACTTAATGGGAAAAGGCTTTGTTGTTGTTGTTGTTGTTATAGACTTGAGCCCTTTGAAATTCTAAGCACAACTCCGTAATTGATGGAAGAAGAAAATCAGGAATTTTGGCGAAAAGCGAAAAATAGTCTCACAATGATCGGCATAGATGCACTTTCAAAAAGAAATAACTTCCAATACCTACAGGGAGATATCAACAATGTTTATGAATTTACCCATTCAACTAGGCTCTCATCACCCAATGGCTGAGAAGAATCCACAGGTTTGCGACCTGTAATTAGCTCCAATAGCACAACACCATAAGAGTAAACATCAGACTTGTCCGTCAACTTTCCACTTGTTGCATATTCTGGCGCCATGTATCTGGAAAATCACACAATATCATTCATCAGAATATATAAAAAGCAAATGATGCCAACGGAAAGATTGAAGAAATGGAAAGGAGCCTGATTCAAAAAAGTGAAGGTAACTACCCAAATGTTCCCATTACTCTTGTGGTCACATGCGTATTTGAATCCAATGCTAGCTTTGCAAGCCCAAAATCTGCAACCTGTTAACAAGTAAAATTCATCGTTAGAAGACTAATTGCTGTCAAATGATTAACAATCGGAGACAGGGAAAACGTGTTCTGGCTGCCTATTATTGTAAGAGGAAATTGCAGTCATTCCATGAATATATGATTATTAGGCTGCCAAAAGGGCTCTTACTTAAAAGGAGATGGAAATGCGCTCGTGTTGCAAGCACTAGAAGCAATCACTATAACTGCATAGAAGTGTTTTTATTTTTAAATTAAGGTTTGTAACTGACGAACGTACTTGAGCTTCAAAGTTGCTATCCAAAAGGATGTTTGACGACTTAATATCTCTGTGAATAATGCGGGGATGACCTGATAAACACATTAAGACAAAATACTGTGAGAGGAAGAATTAGATCCTCAAAGGCGTGCTGATAAATACAGTACTGGAGAAACAAACTCTGCAGAATTTTGAATGAAAATAGCTAATCTTTATATATATAATATTTATTTCATTTATGCTAAGCACCAAACACTATAAAATTCCAGAAACACGCTAGTTTGTTTTAAATACGTCCATTGTCTTGACAACAAAGAATTCTTCCACAATTGTTAATGTCATTCAGAGAGTTAAAAAGCCTTGGAAACTAATATGAACTTTTATGTAGAGGACCTATTTCTGTATGATTATTGACTAATGGCTGTTTCACATAGGATAAATAAAAAACTGTAACTTTGTACTTGACGGAAATTTATGACAAAAAGAAAGGCAACTGTTCATTTAATTAAAAAATTAAGGAAAAACTTTCATTTCTGATTATGTGTTTGCACTCGATCAAACCAAGGTCGAGAAAAGTTGAATCCAAATTGAGAGTTCCAGAACAAAAGAAGAAACTCACAATCTTCATGTAAGTAAGCTATTCCACGAGCTGCACCAGCAGCAACCTTGACTCTGGTTGCCCAATCCAGGACTGGCATGCCCTCACCTGCAGCTTTCAATAGAGGAAAGTTAGAAGAGGTACAATTTTGACAAGATACCTGCATGCAGAAGAGAATTATGCTTCAAATTTACTAATGCCCAAAATATTGCTTGATAAATTATGCCGTGACTTTAAAAAAATAAATTACCAAGCACAATGTGCAGCATTAGCAAGTTTATTGGCACAGGTTAACGTAGCCATCTTTTAAAGGACTATTAGTTAATAATTTAATTAAAAGACATCAATATTGGACAGAACAGGATATAACACAAGCCCCCTATTTTGTTCCAGAACATTTTAGATTGGTCTTGCTTTCAAAATTAGAAGGCTTACCATGAAGATGGTAATGAAGAGTATCATTTGGAACGAAATCGTAGACAAGCAACCTTTGATGCTCAGATATACAGTAACCAACCAGGGAAACCAAATGGCGATGGTGTACTCGACTAATAATTTCAACTTCAGCTTTAAACTCACGCTCCCCTTGTCCCCCACCAATTTTGAGCTGTTTTACAGCAACTTCCCTTTCATCTTCCAAAACACCTTTGTATACACAACCAAATCCACCTTCGCCCAAAAGATTCTGTTTCGAAAACCCATTCGTGGCTTTGATTAGTTCTTCATATGTGAACCATGACTTTGAATTGTTAACGCCACCATCTGATTGTGCATACATGAAATCGCTGCCAGAACCATTTCCTACAAGGGGAGCTGGAGAATAGGGCTTAAGAAATGCTGAATCTGGAGAGCAGAAAAAAGTTCCATTAGTTTGAATCCAATTACCTCATCTGCACATTCAGATGAAACTTGCTAGCTAACTCAAAAGCTTACTTCTCATATCATTTTATACAATGTAAAGCCTACAGGCCGTATAAGAACTGACGGCGCTAAAAGAAAGTAGAATGGCAGAAACGAAAAAGAAAATAAAGCAAGTTTTGAATAAGCAAGCTCACCAATTCGTATGGAACAGCTACCAGAATTCCTTGTCAATGAAGCAAGTTTGAAAAAGTGTCAGCAAACAAACAAGAAAATGACATAATTCAAGTAATGCGTGCTCAATGTGTTACCTGAATTCTGGGATGAAGCAAAGGGGGAAGGCATGCTGTAGGCAAGATTTGCTCCAGCTTTTCTTTTCTTCTGCTTCTTTGCAAACCACACCGCCATTACAAGAAGACTGATCACCAGGAATCCAACTACAATTCCAATGGCCACAGCTCCTCCAGTGTCTAACCCTCCTTTATTTCCGGATGTGGCATTTGATGTTACATTGGCATCAGTGGTTGACCTTGCAGTTGGCTTCTGTGGTAAGGGAGTGGGATTTGATGAATTACTGGGCAGGGTAGGAGAAGTAACAGGAGGTGAAGAAGATGAGGCACTGAAGGAGGTGGTGATTGCACTGTGGATGCAGGGGGAGATTTATCAGCTGGTGCAGGAGCAGATTTGGAAGCAGATGGAGGAGGTGTACCAGTGGGGGATGAAGGAGATTTCTTCGGTGCTTCTCCTTGTGGCGGTGGTGGAGAATTGGACGAAGGTGGTGGGGACTCTGTGGATTTAGGTGGAGGTGAGGCTTCTGCAGGAGGTGTAGGGGAAGATTTGGGAGGGGGAGAACTTTCTGATGGAGGTGGTGGGGAAGCATCTGGTGGGGGTGCAGACGCAGCTGTAGGAGAGGCAGCTGGTGGAGAAGGTGGTGGTGATGCTGGAGGAGGTGATGATGGGGGGTGGAGCTGCCGGCGGCGAAGGCGGTGGTGAAGTTGGTGGCGGAGTTGACGGAGGTGGTGATGATTTTGGAGAGGGGGAAGCTGGTGATGCTGGAGGAGGAGATTGGGCAGGGGGAGGTGAAGCGTCAGAAGGGGTTGCAGTAGTTGTTGGGGTAGTTGAAGAATTTGATGGGGGTGGTGTTGTGGTATCAGATGAAGTCGGTGAGACCGCAGAAGGAGAAGAATTTGGAGAAGGTGAAGTTGAAGACATGTTTATGTGAAATTGAATGCTAAATTTTGCTACTTTTTTGGCTTTATTATATAAATTCCATCGCCGAACTTTCCAAATTCAATCACAAAAATAGTCACTTTTACTCGTATTTATACATCAGAGACCGTTGCATTACAAATATACAAATCCCAAATGTCAGAAAACCCTAATTCAAAATTTCCAGGCAAAATCCATTGCCTTCTTCAACTTCCTGACTTTTTCCCAAAACCCTGGAAAGTTTCAGATTAACCAAAATTCACAGAATCTAAGCACTACCCGGTTCACAAATCCCTCGAAAGAACAAATTTGACAACCAAAACCCCAAAATTTGAGCACAAACCAGATCAAAAAAGCCCACCATCTGCAAGCTTCAAGCTTTAAAACCCAGATTTATTACTACTACAACTACAAGCTCATAACTTTACAGGGAAAATGCAGCAATCCAAATCGCCAAAACTGTTCAAAAACAAAACCCAGAAGCTAAAAGCTCGAGCAAATTAATACCTATCTCTGAAATGGTGGAATTTTCGAATGCGGCAACGTTTTCCCCAGAAAGCTATGATATTTTCTTGGAAAATGGTAAAGAGTTTAAGAAAAAAAAAGGGTGTAAACCCCAAAACACGCTTAGTAAACGTGGGGGCGACTTCGGAAGGAGGACCAGCGAGAGAGACTTCACATGCAGAGCGGCGGTGGCAGCCAAAAACAATGATTGTAAAATTACTTGAGAGGAGAAGCATGGTCCCAAATTTTATGCTTAGAATATGTAAACGCCTTCATTAGCTGTTCCTTCCTGTTTATATTTTTTGTTTTTGAATTTTAATTTTTTGCTCATTATTTTTTTCTTTCTGCTAATTGAATTTTAGTAATGTTCACAAAGACATTTCAAACTTTTACTTGATGTTCAAGTTTACATCCGCAACTAACGTGTACAGAAAAGTTATATTTGATTATATTTTTCTTTGTTTTAGCATTTGAAATTAGAGAAGAATAATCAAATCTAGCAAGAAAAAGAGCAATTAGCCACAACTTTTTCTTTTAAATTCAGTTATATTGAAGAACAACCTTTCAAGCTTTAAATACTTGATTTTTAAGCAAAACTTTTCTTTTAGGAACCTCAGAGGTGCGAGAAAATTTTATTAAAATGAAAAAAAGTTATGTCAGTCAACGGACATAAGCATTACCTCTCATGAAACAAGAAAAATAAAATACATAAAAAGACGGGACATAAACCTTTCTCTTTTTGAAAAACGGCATACCAAAAGGTGAGGACCAGAGAAGCCCTCAATTGGCTAATTTGTCAACAATTGCATTCCTTTCTTGATACGTATGAGAGGAAAACCATGTACTGCAACCGGGAAATGTAGTTTTTCCAACGAGTCCAAAGCAACCAAGGAGAAGAATAGAAGGTTCACTTTCAAGCCATAAATTTGTCAACACCACGCATGAGACCACAACAATGATAACAGCATGATGCTCCATATAAAAAGAAGTATGATAACTCAAGCTCAAAGAAAAACCACCAAAATTTAGGGAGATTATATTCACACATCCCAAATTACTTTTCCCACACATTTTAAAATTTTTTTTTATCAAGTGTTAGTGGTGTATATAAAATATTAAAAAATTAAAAGAATGTGGGAGAAATAAATTAGAATATGTGAATATAATCTCTCAAAATTTAACCTGTAAAATTTCGAAAAAAAACCCACCACAAGCCCAATATTTAAGCAAAACATGTTGTGGGTGCTTCCATCTTGAATAGTAAGGCACAAGTTTTTACATTTAGTAGTTCTTGCTTTTCCCTCCTTTTTAAGCTATTCAAATTTGCACTTGTTGAGGACTTCCAACACCTTATGACACGAGTTGATAACAATTATACATGTACCATAGCATTTTTTTAAGGCGCCACATTTTTTTAGGAGGATTCTCATCATGTCAAGTCCCAATAAATTTCTTTACTTTGCATCGAATTAAAGTACTTAGTCCACCATTTATGTGTGTTCCCGTCAATTCTTTTGAATTTCACTTTTGCTAACCTGCTTCCCATACAAAACAACAACTGAAAAAGACTGCTAAAATCCAATAAGCTGAGGAGCAAAATGAGGAATATGGAGGGGCTCGGACGATCACATATAAGATGTAAACAGGGGATTTGGATCCTCTTCGAGGCAATTGGTTAGGATCCTTCTGGCCGGTGTATGTGGGCCGTTGGATTTTTATTCAACTGCTACAAATAGGGAGGGTCCTCTAAAAGTTATAATAATTGTAGTCATTAGATAAAATCCAACGGCTCACATACATTGGTCAGGAGGATCCCGACCAATTGCCTCGGAGAGGATCCAAATCCGTAAACAGGTGGATGCACCTGCTTGACCAAGAAGGTTTTCAATTTGTTACTTAAGTTAAAAACTTTTACAGTAAAAATACTACGTGACTGTTGTAATATTTCATCAACGGAGGTGAATAAACAAAGTTTTTGTATGAAAAAAAAACAGAAAAGTCAAATAACGACGCCGCGTAGGACTTGAAACAATTAGTCAGCGCCAAAGCTCAAAATAAAGGATTAACAATAATTAGATAGATGAGGTGATTTAAATAAACAAATAATACGAGATCTCATTCCCTCATCACTCCCATGATGTCCGAATGCGCGCATGTTGATCAACGCCAATAAACAATTCTGCAAAACCCAGCCTTTAACTTGTTTCATTTGTTTCATTTGCTATCGAGGTGAGAAGCATCTATACGGATTGGATTCACACATGTGGCATTACGTTTTAATAATGCGTTGTTATGTGTAAGTTTTTGCATTAAGAGCGAGGATATCCTAGTAAAATAGGAATAGCTGCAATTGAAGATAAAATGAGAAAAAATCAGTTAAGATGGTTTGGATACGTGAACTGAAGGCCTACAGATACTCCGTTTAGAATATGCGACTATGAAACAAAGACTCGTAGCAAAAGAGGTAGAGAAAACCTAGGAAGACTTTGAAAGAAACTATAGGAAAATATATGAAATACTTAGAGCTAGCGGAAGACTTGGCACAAAACCGAGCACAGTGACGGTATATGATTCAAAGCCATTTAATGGCGTAGTGGGGTAAGACTTAGTTGTTGGTTGTGTGTAAATTTTTCTTTGCAAAATAATAGGTTATAAATCGAGACAAAATAATAACAATAAACCTGTTACATGTAAATTACTCTTGAAATTATAAAGGAAGGCTTTTGTCTCTTGAGTTGTTTTATAAAGTGGATTCACTAATTAATTAATGTAAAACCATCTCATAATCTTGAAATCTTCAACTCAAAAGCTTTGAAAGAGAGGGTTTGTTGGTTGAGCTAATGACAGAATATGGCATGCAATGCAGGCATTCTCATGGAGACAGGCTAACTGCAATGGTTCCTTCCTTACTCTCTAATTTTGTTTTATGTTGGTGGACAACTTAATGTGGCTTCTGCTTTGTCCTATAGCATAACAACAATATTCCAACTAGGGCATTGACCTAAAAATATTGCAACAAGGCCTTTAATATGAAAATGACATAATATTTGAAAAACATAGATACACTAGGATTTGATATATGCAACTTGAGTTTTGAGATATAATTTTGAGTTTGAGGATCTATAAATTAATTTTCTTTACTTATGGTTATGACTACGACATTAGATTATGAATTTCATCAAGTGTAAAATATACAATGATGATGATGATAAGTGGTGATAGTTAGAATGAACAGTGATGGTTGTGAGGCTCACGTTAACTCTATAGATGAGTGGTGGCAATGACAATAACAACATAACAAGTTTTGTAAATGTGTTCATGAAAAATCCGATATTCTAAACTACTATAGTTTATATGTAGGAGGGTGCGGGCTCAATTGCAAGAGACTGACATAGTGTCCCAATCAACTAGCCTAATTCACATATGCGACTTAAGACTAAATCTCACACTCCCTAGTGTACTTAAAAAAATATCGATGTATTCAAACGAAGAAAAGAAAAAAAGTTATGCCAGCAGCACTTTGAACTAGTGATATTCCTCTTAATTTATAAGCGAGAGATCTCAACTTCAACTTTCATGAATGACGAATTCGATACTTAATTGTGGTTAACGTATTTAGCCCAAGTTCACCTGGAAATCATTGTATTAAATAAATAATGAATTTATTATTCAACTTAAAATGGGGAAATTCTTATGGGCTATGGAAAAATGGGCTTTATCAATATTGCACTCCTCCAAGCCTCCAACAACCTTGTAACTTTTGGGCCATATAAACCGGCGGCTAATGACCCAAATGACAGCGGAATCCCATTCCCAACGGCACAACCCGCGTACGTTAACGCGCGCGCTTTCAAATTTCTCCGTCTCCGTCTCTGTCTCTCCGACTCCAACTCCGATTCCTCAGCTGAGGTACCCCTTCTTCTTCCTCCGTATCTAATTCACTAATTTCGACCTCATTTTCTGTAATCTTCTTTCGAATCCGATATATGGTTTCTCTTTTGTTTTTGCCGAATGTCGAATTCATGTTCGCCGCGTTTTGTTTGTTGGTTGCTGAGAAAATGTCCCAAGGAAAAAAATGAACACATATATGTATGTGTGTGTGAGATGGATGAGCGATTCAACGGAATGCCTCCTCTTCGACATCATTTTGCGTCGAATCTACAGTTTCAAGTACTTGTGTTTGAAACCTGCACGCACCATTGAGTTTGTGTGTGGTGTGTGAGAGGGTGAAATGTGACCAGAGAGTGACTTCCATACCGCAAAAGACGAGCTAACCCGTATCTGGTTTTGGTGTCCTTCTGGGAAGATTTTTGAGTGTGCAAGCTTCGTTTCGCTGTTCTATCAATACTAGACAGCAGCACACAGCGCTTTCGTTTTTCGCTTCTAATGGATTGTACGATGGATGGTGATCGGGGGAAACGGAGGGAAGCAAATGCTTAGCCCCTGCGGTCTGCGCTGTCTGGTTTCTAATAAACATTCTATATCATGCCAGGAACCACCGGCAACAATCAAAATGTGTCGAGCTTTGGAAGATGACTTGCCATTGAGCCTCGAAGTGCGCAGAGCACTGACTGCTCTCATTCGCCAAGTTGAAGAACAAATAGTCCAACTTCATGAACGAAGGAATGAAGCTATAGCAGTGTTAGGAAGCATGGAGGATGACCAAGATTCGGAAGATGGCTCGGATTCAGAAGATGACCCAGGTTGGGAATATGACCTAGATTCGGAAGACGAAGATGACCAAGGTTCGGAAGATGATCAAGATTCGGAAGATGGCCAAGATTCGGAAGATGACTTATCGCAGAGTCAAGAGTTCTGGTTCTTTTTTATTATTATGTTCTTATTCTGGTCTGCATTTCTTCTCTTAATTAGGTCTTGATTCTTGTCAGGCATTTGTTTGACGTTACTGCTCAACTATGTATCAAGTACGTAATGGCGAAGAAAGGGTTAGGGTGGCGTTTGTAGGGCGATTCTCATCGGAGACCTTGTTCAGGTTCAGTGAGTTTCTAATGGCGTTTGTGTTCGGTTCTGTTCACGCTGTGAAAGAAAAAACCTTGTAGTTATGGATGTTTAAAATTTTAGAATTCGACTCCCCTTGTTGTGTCAATGTTTCTTGACATGAAAGTCGTCTAAAATATGATATATTTCAGAAAAGCAGTTGGTTTCAACAATAACAGGTAAATACAACGGATCGAAATAGATAGAAAGTTCTCAATTCGGATGAAAGAACAGATGTATGTTAATCAAAACATGACAGTAAATACAACGGAGAACGAAATCACAGTCACAAATTATAATGCAACCAGTTTAATGATAAAGCCCGGACCAGGAAACGTTATGTCCAAGTCCGACTTCCTCTCCTTCCTTTCCTCTGCTGTGGATCCACCACAAGAGATTCGTAAGCGAGTTACCATCATCGTGACCATTCAAGCTCTTTATCTTCCCCAAAGCGCCTTCTTTGTCATAAATCCCTTCCAAGGCATAGACAAATCCTTTCCATCCTTCCCCTACTCCCTCCCTACTCAAAGCCGGTAGTGTCCACGTCACGAGATCCCTAATAAAGCTAACATCTGAAAACAAGGCCTCAGTGATCGGCAATAGAGGTAGCAACTGAATTCCAAGCCTGCACTCTTTCCACTCCGAAGGAGCGAAACAAACTGCGCTGTCCCTCTTGTTACTCCATAAAATTCCAACCAAGCGATTTTCCCTTGTGAAATCCTGCCCATACATGTTACTTCCCTCTTTTACGTGCCACCACATTTGGGCTGCCCGAATCTCCAAAGCTGCAAGCATTGATCCTGTGGCCACAAGATGGGTGTCTCCATAAACTAAGCCCAACAATGCAGCTGAATAGTAGGCATTCACTGCCTCACTCGTGCTCTCCTGATTACGACCATCTGCAGACTCATTTAACCCGCTTCTCCACGAGTGTAATTTGTAAAAATCAAAGCACCTTATGCGTGGATAATGCGAATCTGAATGCCTGCCTACCGTCAAATAATCAGCAGTGAGCGAATAAGCTTGAGCCCGATACTTCCTCCCCCAAGCAGGATCAATTTTCGCAAGCACTGAAATCCCATAAACAAAGTACCCCAGATGGTAATGGTGACCACTATAAAGTCCAAACCCAAAATCCGCACCAGAATCGGTTGCTCCTTGTTTCGTGACAATGCCACCCCATTTCTTGTCATGCAAGAAACCATTTCCCCCGAAAGTTCCAGCCAGCCACGGCTCAATCGTTTCCTTCAAGAACTTCCTAATCGTCGGAATCACATCGAGATGAGCCACCTCCTCTGCAATCAAAGCCAGCCTCGCCGCCCTCGCGATCAATTTTCCATAAAAGTACGAAGATTTTGTAGCTATCGCACTGGAATTCAGCTCCCCAACATCCTTGACAAGTGCAGAAACAATTTCAGCATACGACTCTTCTCCAACACCTCGATTCGAATGCCAGGTGATCAAAATAGGGTCGAGTTTCAGCGACCATGAATCGCCAACGACGCCAACAAGATCCCCATCGATGCTCTTGACCTTGAAATCCTCCAAAACAGTGACGTCAGAATCCTCGCGGGAGAGAAGCTGGAGGTGCAGAGGATGAGCAAGCATGAGCAAATCGCCCGATCCTTTCTTCTCCCATTTGTATTCCAAAGCAAACGGCTTTGTGAAAACCGCTTCGCCAGAAACCGGGTAGCAAGGACTGACCGGGTCAAGGGTCGCCTCGAATTTCGGATCCGAATCCGGTAATATCGCAATCCGAACTATCCCAGAAAACTCATTGGAGGTGATCGGTGACAGGCAGTTGGTTGCCAAATCGATCGGGGAAGAAGTGTATACAAGCCATGTCTGATTGTTACTGAGCTTGATGGTGTATTTGGTCTTTGAGTCGTTTGGTGAACACGAGAGGATTGAGTGGATGGTGGAGATTGAAAGAGAGGTGGCGTTGGAAACAGAGCACGTGATGAATGGGCTGCCGCGGACGAGGAAGAAGCTGAGGTTGGAAGAGGGGAAGTCCAATGTGACGCTGAGGTCGTTGAAGGAGGAGATTTTGTGGGGTTGTGGAGAATCGGGTTTTTGGGTGGCGGAAATGGCGAGATCGGCGGTGAAGATTTGGTGTGTGAAGGCGGAGGTGGAGGAGAGAGATGGGTACGAGATGGTTAGGGCGGCGGAGGAGGATTTGACGGCGTAAGGGTGGATGTATTCGGGTTGGTCGCCGTTTTTGAGAGCGAAGTTTTGGAAGAAGGACTCGGTGGGGAGAGGGGATGAGAGGAGGTCTTGGGAGAAGAAGTTTGATGGGTCGGGTAGGACGGTGGATTGGGTTTCGGGGAAGAGGAATGAGGCGGCGGCGGTGGGTGGTCTGAGAGTTTGCTGCGGTGGTAGTGACTTGGTTTGGGATTCTTCTTCCGGAGGTGGTGACGACAGGGTTTTGGATTCTTCTTCCGGAGGTGGTGATCCCATGGTTTTGGATTCATCTTCCGCAGCTGGTGATGATGGATCGGCTGTTGGCGACACGGTTTCGGATTCTTCTTCCGGAGGCGGTGATGATGGATCGGCTGTTGGTGACATGGTTTCGCATTCATCTTCTGCAGGTGGTGATGATGGAGCGGGTGGCGACGTGGTTTCGGATTCTTCTTCCGGAGGCGGTGACGACATGGTTTGGGATTCTTCTTCCGGACGTGGTGACGACATGGTTTGGGATGGATATGAAGATGGAGGGGGTGGTGGTTTATAGGGATTTTTCTTGGCGAAGCACATGTGTTTGTTTTATGCACGAAGCTCGGATCACCATCCCGATAACATAGATTGGACTGAAATATCATTCGAACTTTGGACGAAGGTGGGAATTGGGTAGGAGCCATGGGGAGGGAAGCTAGGAGAAAATGGAGGGGGTTTTTTTAGCAGTTAGTTACCAACACAAGGAGGAAGAAGACCTTTAGTTTCTGTGCATGGGATGGGACGTGGGAGGATTGCAAGTTATCCATAAGTAGTTTGATTCGAAGAAATGGATGCCAATGACAAATGTGGGAATCATGAATGCCTCATACGCAAGCAACTATATGACTTACAGGTAGCTAGTATAACTCACTTTTTAAACCCGCAACAAGCATTTATTTAAGAGAGTTTTTACGAAACATTTCTGGTACGGTTCACTTTTAACGAAAAATCACATTTTTACCTTTCTCTGTTACTATTCACTACATATTTATTTGTCATTTTTCATTAAAACTAGTTTTTTTTTTTTAACTTTTCGTTAGTTTTCCTTTTATTTTTAACAAGTTACGTCACTAAGATTATGCATTGGAGGTCAAAAAACAATCTCCCTTTATACATACGCGACATTAGAAAGCTACGTAGCTTTTTTACAATTGGCATTTATGTTCAATTCCCTTCTTGATATCAAAAAGAAAAAAGATCGATGTAAATGCAACATAAATTTGTGTATAATAACACGTTATACTTCATAACCAGACTAATTAAATATTAGATGTGATGTCCTGGTATTTAAGAGAAACATGCAAGTAGATTTCACATAGAGAACTAACCAAAGGCACACAATCGTTTAGTAGAACAAAATAAAATTCAACATCACGTAGCTGTTAGGAATGTCGGTACTACAAGATAAAGAATGTACAAAGTAAAGTAGAAAATGAACATCAAGAATTTATGTGGTTCGACAATTTATGCCTACGTCCACGAAACAAGGATCAATCTTCACTATATGAAAAAATGAGTATAATAAGAGTAGTCTTACCAAGCCAAAAACAAGGCTTGATGGATACAAAAAAGTATGACATACATTTTCTATTACTCTAAACTTCACTCACAATGTGTAGTAGAACACTCTCACTCTCACTCTTGGAGTGGAACTCTAGCTTTGGACTTGATCTTTTGCTACTCACACTTGGTTCTTAATTGGTTACTTCACTACAACATCACACCCATATTTATAGGTGAGGGTTTGGTATTCTACTAGTTTCTAGTGTATTCTTCAAACCTCTAGCATAGATAATTCTAGACTAGCCACAAAATTGTAGCTTCTAGATCTTTCCATTTGCAACCAAGGAAACTAGTACTCTCTAGCTTCTTCCATCAACTTAATAACATGTTAGAATTGTCTAGCATGCTCCAACCACCCCACTTGCTTACTAGAATAATCTAGAATATTCATCATGGGTTGGACCATATACCAACAATCTCCCCCTCCAGTCCATGAGGGAGGAATTCCGATCATGACTCCAAGTTACCTGGAGTTCATCCCAACAGTAGCATGCCCAAAGGAAACCTCAGAAGTGCTCAACCAAAATAAACAAAAAACATCCAATATTGTCTTCTCTCTTCCTTCCTTCCATCTCTTAATCGCTTCTATGTACAACAGTTAAGGTTGAGCTAGGGTTGAGATTTTGGGTTCTATCACACACTATTATTCCTCGTAAAATCTCCCTCGAACATTCTCTCTCTCTCTCTCTCTCTCTCTCTCTCTCTCTCTCTCTCTTACGTGCCACCAAACTTTTGTTGCATGCATTTCCAATGCGGCAAGCATTGGAGAGATTTTTCAGTGTGACCGGTATACGGGATGGTACATCACGTGTTACTAAACAAATGGTAGGATATGTGTGCTAAAAAGTTAATAACTTAAAAAATAAAATTTCTCACAATTCCTATTAAAACACGTGGTATATTACTTGTGTTCCCGTCACAACTAAAAATTTCTCCAAGCATTGATCCTGTGGCAACAAGATCGTCATCTCCATATGTTAACCCCATCAATGCAGCTGAGTAGTACACATTCAGTGCCTCGCTTGTGCTCTCTTGATTACGCCCGTCCCAGAATTCAGTTAACCTCTCATGCCCATGAGTGTAACGTAAACATATCAAAGCATCTCAAACGTGGATAATTTGAGCTAGATTGCTTGCTTCCCAAGTTAATGTTGTGCCTTGACCCGTTTGTTAGTGCGGAAACGAGATTCAGATTACAACCTCACCAAATCACACTCAGTTCAATAGAATAAAATACAAGAAATAAAAACACCGAGTGACACGCCCCGACCCTGATATTCTCCGAATACCAGGACCGACACGTGCTGGCCGACACCCGGGGTGACGAAAGCCATTAATTGATACAAAAGCTAAGAATAAGAAATAAATACGGGTTATGAATTTAAAATACTATGAATTAATAATTTTAGGAACGTGCTCAGAGCATACAACTAAACCTAATCACTAAAAAGAATTAAGATATAATTGAATGAATAAAGAAGTAAGTCCTACATCGAGAGGATCCGAAGATGCTGCTGCGGAAGTGCCTTGACGCCGGGATTAGGTGCCTTGATTCTAAGTCCTGAATGGGGGCGCAAAACAAAGGTGAGTGGACCAAGTTTATGTATATAATAATAATAAAACAGTTATCAAGATACTAACCCCCACAATTTAAATAAATGAAAACTACTAGCATAATAAGTGATGGATTTAATAAAAATCTTAGCATGCCAAAAATATCTTAAAAGCCATATATCGCTGAAAAGCATCGCCGAAATCGAAATATCAAACGTCTCATAAATCGTCTCGTAAACGCGGTGTGCTGCTAGTAAGATCACCGAATAAATATAACTCCCGACCCAATGCCTGCACCTAAGTCTCTGCGCCCGTGGCCAGAGATAACTACCACCTGGCCCAATGCCTCTTCATGTCCCTCAGCCCGTAGCTAGGGATTATTTCTCCCGGCCTACATGCCAACACCAGTTCCTCGCCCCAGGCGGCATAGTGTCTACTAGGTACGCACAAATATTTACGCATCTCATAAATAACCACTTCATAGCATAGATTACCGATCATCGTCTACACTATAAAGAAGGGTTCAAAAACATGTTCTAGCATCCTATCGTCATCTATCAGATAGTCTACCAATTCATGGTTTTTATAGAAAATATGATATATATTAAAATATAGCTCAAAATAGGCTAACAATTAATTCCTCACCAAAACACGAGACAATAATCAATAAATTCAATAAACAGGATTGATATAAATCAATTCACAAAATTCGTAGGCATGCTAATCATTTATGCAATTACTATAAAATCATGTAATTTTAGAAGGGGTCCACTCACAGTACTTAGTTGCCAAAAGCTGCGCCACTAGCGAAGAAGGAAACGTCACAATAATTGCCCCTAAGCACAATAATATAATAAATAAATAAAAGGATTTTCTAAAAGATTTGGGCTTGAATTAAATAAAATAGGGGATTTGGGATTGGATGAGTTTAGGGTTTTCTAAGGTTTTAGGAACCTAAGATTTTGGGTTAAAAGGCTTTAGGGTGAGAATGGGGGTTTGGGCTTTAGCCCAAACACACACACATACGGCATGCATGTGCATGCATAAGTACATACACACACACACACGGCCACAAAATCACAAAGGCCTTAAGGCCTAAAAAAAAAATAAAGAAAAATAGGGCTTTAAGCCCCTTTTAAAAGCCACCGGCCCAAGGCCATTTAAATAAGGCCCGAGGCCTTTCTTGGGGTTTTAAAATAAACTAACAAAAATAAAAGAAATGGGCTGGGGTTTAACGGGCTTAAGGCCCGAAGGGGAAAGGGGAAGGCCGGATGGCCTGGTGCCGAGGAAGAAGAAGGCCGGAGCTGCTACAGCTCCGGTCACCGGAAAACATGGGTTTGGGCTCCGATCTAAGTACAACCATGAAGAACAGGGAGAGAGGAAGAGGTTTCTACCTTCCAAAATCCGTGACTCGGTCGGAGGTGACCGGAAAAAGCTTCCAAAGTCCACAGTTCGCCGGAAAACGGGTGCTCACCCACAACGATTTACGAAGCAAAACCTACGTAGAAAGGGAAGGTTCAAGCTCCTAAAACACAACCAAGCAACAATCTAACAACGAGAATGAGAGATTCGACTTACTTAACGGAAAAAGAGGGAGGGAGGGAGTTCACCGGAGCTTTGCTCCGTGCCGTCGAACTGGCAGAAATAGAGAGTCCTGGGCTTATGGCGAGCCTCTCCTGAGGCTGATAGGGTCTTCGTGAGTCCAGGGGGAGAGAGATGCGAGAGGTTGAGGGAAAGAGGTTCGGGAGAATTGAGAGAGAGCTACGGGGAGAGATAGAGAAAAGAAGAGAGAGAGAGAGAGACCGGGAAAACACACAAAAAATAAAATAAAATAAAACAAGGTGGGCCCCACGGGCTCACCAATTAAGAATTAAAACTATTTTTAAAATAAAATGGGGTTGGGGTGTTTCACTGAGAAATTTACGAGGTTCAGCAAAAACATGCCTACGTCATCGGAGAGATATTGCTCTTCACTATAAGAATAACAGTACAAGTACACATGAGTTAAATCAACATAACTCAATCCCGAATCCCTTGCACACCCACTCATAGAATTTTTCCAAGAGTTTCACCCTACCCCAAGAGTTCTTTCACTAGAATACTTTTCACTCTAACTCTCTTGATTTTCTCTCAACACATGTTCAACCTTTCCCATGGGAGAGCCCGATGCTCCCCCCTTGGATGCTTCTATGATGCTTACTCTCTCACTTTCTAAGCATTACTAAATGCACAAATATTGCGTCTAGTTATAGGCATACACTAGCAACTATGCCAACAAACAAGAACAAAAAGTCTTAAGTTCACATGACATAATTATTACCTAGCCTACCTAGCATGCACCAAAGTCTATACCTAGTCTATAAAGTACGATTTTTCTCCATTTGTCATTTAATGCATAGAAGAGAAAACATGCACAATTGTGTGCAAGCAAACACAAAGTCAAGTCTTGCTTGCTTCCAACTTTGCTTGTGGCAGTCACCATATCTTCAATTGTTGTCAACACATGACTCATAATTACTCACAAATATATGAGCCAAACACAACAATCTCCACCTTGGCGAATACACCATGCAAAAATCCTTGCACCCATCACCAAAGCTCATTGGCCTTACGTACCAGCATACATACCCTGAATCAACCTCATTGGTCCTGTTCCGATTCAGTCACTGCCAATGCATGTGTAGTTGCTGCAAGCTAAAATTCACCATTTAGCTTCAGACAGGATCTCAACACACCCTCGTCTCTTCCAACATGTTTTCCTTTTCTTCATTGTCTGCAACCTGGAAATTCGTCAACGCGCCCGTTTCCAGCAACAACCCATCGAGCCAGACAAAATTCCCACATTTCCTCCTACCTCAGGACCATCTCATCACCTGTGAATCCCATAGCTCCACCTGCTGCAAAACCGCTACAACACTTGAGACTATAGATCACCAGGAGAAGTGTTGCTTCTAGTACCTAGAGGGCATACTCGAAGCCTTATGTCACAAACTTGCTACGACCCGACCTTGCACCGTAGCACTGTGGACCTTTGCCTCCGAAACCGGATTTGAACATGTTGTCTCTCTCAGATCCTCTTTCCAATTTTCTTCCACAATTCCAACCTTGAATAACTTAAGCAGTCTCGTGCCCACCATCATCCATGGTCTCCTTTGTGTATTATTCCACACCAAAGAAGTTTGCACCTGCTCCAAACTTACTGTATCTTTCCATGCAGTAAAGTTTCACAAGGTTCTCGTATGAATCTGAAAGTGAGGTAAGAAGAAAAATGCATTTTTCTTCTTCCTCAACATCAACTTTCACAGTTGATCCAAGCATCCCTGAACACGGCTTCCATTTCTTCAGGCTTCCATTACTCTCCTTTACCAAAAGTAAAATCGCCTCTCCCATTAAACTGCTCAACTGAAAATTCCATGGTGAACAACAAATCTGGACCTGTAACGAATCAAGCGCCCAACGATGCTCTGATACCAATTATTGTGCCTTGGCCCGTTTGTTAGTGAGGAAACGAGATTCATATTACGACCTCACCAAATCACACTCAGTTCAACAGAATAAAATATAAGAAATAAAGACACTGAGAAATTTACGAGGTTCAGCAAAACATGCCTACGTCATCGGAGAGATATTGCTCTTCACTATGAGAATAACAGTACAAGTACACATGAGTTAAATCAACATAACTCAATCCCGAATCCCTTGCACACCCACTCATAGAATTTTCCTAAGAACCTCACTCTACCCCAAGAGTTCTTTCACTATAATACTTTTCACTCTAACTCTCTTGATTTTCTCTCAACCCATGTTCAACCTTTCCCATGGGAGAGCCTGATGCTCCCCCCTTGGATGCTTCTATGATGCTTACTCTCTCACTTTCTAAGCATTACTAAATGCACAAATATTGCATCTAATTATAAGCATACACTAGTAACTATGCCAACAAACAAGACCAAAAAATCTTAAGTTCACATGACATAATTATTACCTAGCCTACCTAGCATGCACCAAAGTCTATACCTAGTCTATAAAGTACGACTTTTCTCCATTTGTCATTTAAAGCATAGAAGAGAAAACATGCACAATTGTGTGCAAGCAAACACAAAGCCAAGTCTTGCTTGCTTCCAACTTTGCTTGTGGCAGTCACCATGTCTTTAATTGTTGTCAATACATGACTCATAATTACTCACAAATGTATGAGCCAAACACAACAGTTATGAAATCCATCGCCATTGAATAAGCTTGAGGTCTATACTTACTCCCCCATTCTACTTACTCCCCCATTCTGGATCAATCTTCGCGAGCACCGAAATGGCATAAACAAAGTACCCTAGATGAATTGAGAGAGCTAATTGATGAGTCAATTTCATATTATATATTTTACCTCGTTCTTAGTATGTTTTGGTAGAATTTTGATACTTTGCTTTATATTTTCAATGTACGACATTCGACTTCTTCTTGAGCAAAAAGTGGCCAAATGGATGAATTTTGGAGTGATTCCAATTGGAGGATGTTTGTGTGTCCCTTGGCTTGTTCGTGCAAAAATTTGAGATTTTTATCTAACATTTTTACGTAGTGCAGAAATGATTTCGGTATACGAATCCTCATTGACACCTCTGATTGAATGCCAAGTGATCCAAAAAGAACTTGGATTCAAAACCCACGAATTGCCGACAACGCCTACAAGATCACCATCAATGCTTTTGTACTTCAAATCATTCAAACCAGTTGCAGTACTTTCATCAACAGAGACAAGCTGCAGGTGGAGGGTATGAGCAAGCATATTATCAGATCCCCACACCCCTTCTTTTCCCACTTATACTCCAAACAAACTGTTTTGTGAAAGCTCCATCGCCGGAAACCGGGTAGCAAGAACTGAACTTGTCCAGAAATGACTCGGATTTTGGATTAGAACTCGGCAACATAGCTATCCGGATGATCCCAGAAAACCCACCAGAAGTTACGAGTTTGTGTCGCTGGTAAGTTTCAAGTTGATTGTTGAGCAGGCATATAGAAGTCATGTTTGGCGTTTCTTTTTGGGCTGATTTGGTATTGCTATGCTTTGAAAAAATGCTGCTGTGAGAATAAGCGGTTGTGCATTGAGAATAAGCGGCTGTGCTGTGAGAATAAGCGGCTGTGAAATAAATCAGCAGAGTGTTTGGTAAACATTTTTGTAAAAGTGCTTTTGGAAAAAAAAGCAGTGGGTCTTTTTATTAAAGGAGCACTGTAGCTCCGTGTGTTTTGAAAAAAAAGCAAAAAGCAAGTTTTCCTTTGATATCAGCTTATTCTCATAGCAGCTTCCAAAATAAGCCTTTTTTTTTTCAGTTTACCAAACAATTAAAACCCTCACAACTTTTTTTCATGGGTGTTTTTTTTTAAGCACCTCACTCCCAAACCACCCCTTCATGTGGTGTCTATACAGCTTCTTCCGGAGCTTTTTAATTTTCCAATTGCCGGCAATTTTTGTTTCAATTTTTTTCATGCTCAACTTTGGTTCTACCATAAAACCGATTGAAAATATAAGAAATAATTCAACAATTATTTATTAGCACATATGAGTCCCTTATTTCTCCAAAGTGGGATTCACTGACAAACACCGTGAATTTCGGTGAAGATTTGTTTAGGTTTTCAACGAGAGATTGAAAGGAAGATGAAGCTAGGATTTCAGAGAATGCACAAGGATGAAAATGGAGTTCGTTGCTCCTTGGATCTCATTGGATTCGCGGCTACAAAGCGGTGTTAAACCAGAACACTACACTTGGATTCTTTAAACTTCTCTGGGATTAGGACCTGCAGCAATGCTTATACTTCAACAATAGCAGTGTTAGGAATCATGGAGGAGGACCAAGATTCAGAAGATGACTCAGATTCGGAAGATGACCCAGATTCGGAAGATGATCAAGATGACTTATCACAGAGTGAAGAGTTCTGGTTCTTTTTTTTAGTGGTATGCAATTTTTCTCTTAATAAGGTCTTGATTCTTGTCAGGCATTTAATTAACCCTACTGCTCATCTATGTAATGGAGTATATAGCGGCGAAGAATGGGTTAGGGTGGCGTTTGTAGGGCGATTCTCATCCGAGTCCTTGTTCAGGTTCTGTGGGTTTCTATTGGCTTTTGTGTTCGGTTCTGTTCATGCTGTGAAAGAAAAAACCTTGTAGTTCTCGATCTTCAAAATTTTAGAATTCGACTCCCCTTGTCGCGTCAATGTTTCTTGACATTAAAGTCATCAAAAATATGATATATGGTTTCAACAACAACAGGTAAATACAACGGGATCGAAATAGATAGAAAGCTTATAATTCAGTAGAAAAAACAGATGTATGTCAATCGAAACACAACAGTAAATACAACAGAGAAGGAAATCACAATCACAAATTGTAATGCAACCAAATTTAATGATAGTGCCTAGACCAGCAAATGTTATGTCCAAGTCCGAATTCCGCTGCTTCCTCTCCTCTGCTGTGGATCCACCACAAAAGATTCGTAAGCGAGTTACCATCATCGTAACCATTCAAGTTCCTTATCTTCCCCAAAGCGCCTTCTTTGTCATAAATCCCTTCCAAGGAATAGACAAATCCTTTCCATCCTTCTCCTACTCCCTCCCTACTCAAAGCCGGTAGTGTCCACTTCACAAGATCCCTAACAAAGCCAACATCTGAAAACAAGGCCTCAGTGATCGGCAATAGCGGTAGCAACTGAATTCCAAGCCTGCACTCTTTCCACTCCGGAGGAGCGAACCAAAGTCCGCTGTCCCTCTTGTTATTCCATAAAACTCCAACCAAACGATTTTCCCTTGTGAAATCCTCCTCATACATGTTACCCCCCTCTTTTACGTGCCACCACATTTGCGCTGCCCGAATCTCCAAAGCTGCAAGAATTGATCCTGTGGCCACAAGATGGGTGTCTCCATAAGCTAAGCCCAACAATGCAGCTGAATAGTAGGCATTCACTGCCTCACTCGTGCTCTCCTGATTACGACCATCTGCAAACTCAGTTAACCCGCCTGCCCACGAGTGTAATTTGTAAAAATCAAAGCACCGTAAGCGTGGATAATGCGAATGTGATCGCCTGCCTACCGTCAAATAATCAGCAGCAAGCGAATAAGCTTGAGCCCGATACTTCCTCCCCCAAGCAGGATCAATTTTCACAAGCACTGAAATCCCATAAACAAAGTACCCCAGATGATAATGGTGATCATTATAAATTCCAAACCCAAAATCTGCACCAGAATCGGTTGCTCCTTGTTTCGTGACAATGCCACCCCATTTCTTGTCATACAAGAAACCATTCCCCCCGAAAGTTCCAACCAGCCACGGCTCAATCGTTTCCTTCAGGAACTTCCTAATCGTCGGAATCACATCGAGATAATCCACCTCCTCTGCGATCAAAGCCAGCCTTGCCGCCCTTGCTATCAATTTTCCATAAAAGTACGAAGATGTTGTAGCTATCCCACTCGAATTCAGCTCCCCTACATCCTTAACTAGTGCAGAACAACTTCAGCATACGAATCTTCTCCAACACCTCGACTCGAATGCCAGGTGATCGAAACAGGGTCGGGTTTCAGCGCCCACGAATCGCCAACAACGCCAACAAGATCCCCATCAATGCTCTTGAACTTGAAATCCTCCAAAACGGTGACGTCAGAATCCTCGCTGGAGAGAAGCTGGAGGTGCAGAGGATGAGCAAGCATGAGCAATTCGCCCCATCCTTTTTTCTCCCATTTGTACTCCAAAGCAAACGGCTTAGTGAAAACCGCTTCGCCGGAAACCGGGTAGCAAGAGCTGAACCGGTCGAGGATCGCCTCAAATTTCGGATCCGAATTGGGCAATATCGCAATCCGAACAATACCAGAAAACCCATTGGAGGTGATCAGTGACAGGCCGCTGGTTGTCAAATCGATCGGGGAAGAAGTGTATACAAGCCATGTCTGATTGCTATTGAGCTTGATGGTGTATTTGGTCTTTGAGCCGTTTGATGAACACGAGAGGATTGCGTGGATGGTGGAGATTGAAAGAGAGGTCGAGTTGGAAACAGAGCAGGTGATGAATGGGCTGCCGCGGACGAGGAAGAAGCTGAGGTTGGAGGAGGGGAAATCCAATGTGACGCTGAGGTCGTTGAAGGAGGAGATTTTGTGGGGTTGTGGGGAACCGGGGTTTTGAGCGGCGGAGATGGTGAGATCGGCGATGAAGATTTGGTATATGAAGGCGGAGGTGGAGAAGCGAGATGGGTACGAGATGGTTAGGGCGGCGGAGGAGGATTTGACGGCGTAGGGGTGGAAGTATTCGGGTTGGTCGCCGTTTTTAAGGACGAAATTTTGGAAGAAAGAGTTGGTGGGGAGAGGGGATGAGAGGAGGTTTGGGGAGAAGAAGTTTGACGGGTCGGGGAGGACGGTGGATTGGGTTTGGGGAAAGAGGAATGGGTCAGCGGTGGCGGGTGGCCGGAAAGTTTGTTGCGTCGGTGGCGACATGGTTTGGGATTCTTCTTCCGGAGGTGGTAATGATGGAAATGAAGATGGAGGGGGTGGTGGTTTATAGGGATTTTTCTTGGGTTTTACCAAGGTTTTGACTTTCCTTTTCACTTTTTTCAACATTGTATGGTATGATAGTAAGTTAAAGATTTAAATGATGAACGCGTAAGAAATAAATTTTAAATTAAAAATGTCGATAATAACGCAAACCTGAGCGAAGTTAAGTTGACTGTAGCATGTGTGTTTATTTATAACCAAAGTTTAGATCACTGTGCCGACAATATAGATTAGATCGAAAAATCCTTTGAATTAAAAAATTACAAGAAAATAAAAGGATTTTGGATGATTTGGTGGGAATTGGGTAGGAGCCAAGAGGAGGAAGGTAGGAGGAAATGGTGGGGTTTTTTCCTAGCAGTTAGTTACCAAACAAGAAGGAAGAACTTTAAATATATTGGGAAATTTGGAATCCGGATGGGGGACTTGGGAGGATTGCAAGATATCCAAATGTACTTTGATTTGAAGGAAGGGATACCCAAAATAAATATAGGATTTCAGAATACTTCATAGGCAAGCAAATATATGACTTGTTGGGTGGTTTTGAGCCTCGATTTTTGTTTGTTGTAAACTTTGCATAACTCCGAAAATTGTAATTCAAAAGTGAAAAGAATGTTCTCTTTTTTATTTTCTTGGGTAACAAAACTAAATGTACCGTCACGTTAATTCGCAAAAAAGACGATCATGGATAGAGCCAATGAAGGCTCACACAGGGCAGATGCTCTCACTCAAGTAATTCGTTTGTTTAGTTGCATACTACAATTATATAATATACATGGATTATCTTTAAAGAAAATATATGTATATAATATCCAACACATATTCATTCTACTTATACTTCATATCAAATATTATATGAGCAATAGTGCTCTTGTTCTGTCATATATTCAAACCGAAAAAACTCTCTCCCGCCTATCATGTACTTATATTTTTCTCATCACTTTGCCACTTTCCACTACTATATTGAAATTTTTGTAACATTAGAATTGTGATACATCATCATTTGAAACCATCTTTAATATCATATTGCGTATAACCATACTATAATAATGTTTTCTTAGTTGTTTTTTGTTGCCCCATTAGAAGAAATTTCTGACTCTGTTCTTGAAGATGATCAAGTGTCTAAGCTGCCTTGCACGAGAGTGGCAAATAAGAACACGACAATCTTACGTGGTTTAGTTACATTAAGAATGTTTGAAAAATAATTTCAGCACACATTCTCTCACTTTTTGCAAAATCTTATCTTTTTTCTAGCCATTGAACTCAAAGATTGATAAAGGTGAAAAAAAAATTGTATGCAAAAATCACTCGCTTTTCTCTGTCAATCAAATTATCAAAGAGTATAAATTCGGATAAAAGAAATACAACTAAACTAAAGTAATATTGTCTAATCAAAATGAGATTTTGGCTTACCAAAGACAAATTCAAACAAAATTATTATGACTAACTCATTCCGAACTCATTCCCGTTCAAGAGAAAAAAATTATAATAACATAGTGATTAGGCCATCTCCAACCGAAGGGTCCAGAGGGCCGAAAATAGCCCTAAAACCGTCTCTAACCGAGGGTTAGGCCAGAGGGCTCGGGAATTTTCATATAACTTCTATTTTTTCCTATAACTTCTATTTCACAAAATTTGTTTCATATTTTTTTTTTAAATTCCATTTTTCCTATAACTTCTATGTCACAAAATTTGTTTCATATTTTTTTTAAAATTCTATTTTTTTCCTATAAATTCCTAAGCCATTATACAACATTAAATTAAATTAAGTAACATGAAACAACATTAAACAATATGAAACAACATTAAATAACATTAACCAACATAAAAATTATACAACATGAAACTTAAACAACATTTTTAAATAATAAATTATGTTTGACCCTATGGCCCTTTGGCCCTCGGTTGAAGACGGTTTTTTGTGAAAGGTCTAAAACGAGCCTTCTGGCCCTCTGGACCTCGGTTTGAGACAGAGGCAAATATGACCATGCACTGTTCATTAAAATATTAATATCTTGAATAATCTTGAAGGGCCAGAGGGCTAAAACGAGCCATCTGGGCAACCATCGGTTGGAGATGGCCTTAGACTCATAGTTTCAACTTTCAAGTCCGACGGCCTATAAAGGAAAGATAAGGTACAAAATACATAATTATATTCTAGATAATGAAAGCAAAGGTGTGACAAATGACTTGATATATTTTTCATTAAATGATTAAAAATCAGAAGTATGAGTCAAGAAAACCCAAATTTGAAGCTATCCAGAAATTGACAAACTACTTTTTTTATTTTTTATTTTTAAGATTAGATTTTTGTTAGATTAAATATTAGAGATTGAACTCATATTCATGCAAAGACTCATCATCTTTCCACTATTGTTTATAATTGGCAAACTACTCCCAACCCGGTTCGTTTTCGGTTCAATTCTCAAAACACGCAAAGGTCCAAAAACCTTTCTTAGGGCTGGTTTGGTATTGTTGTGCTTTGAAAAAAAACTGCTTCTGTTGTACTGTGAGAATAAGCTAATTTTTACTGCTTCACGTTTTCAACTTTTTTTCACCTAAAGCTATGAAAATAAGCTGTTTTTAAGTGTTTACCAAACACCTTTTTGAGCTCAGCTTTTTTTTGATACCCACTTTTTATAAAAACACTTCAGTACCAAACCAGTACTTACAAGACAAACTCTCATGAGATGGTCTTGGTTTAATTGTATTTTTTATTTTTTTATTGTGTTAGTGGCTGGACTCGCCTGTGGAATTAAATTGGAAGCGGATTCTCTCAAGGGAACGGATCCCCTCATGAGCCTAGGAGGCTGAGCCTTTTGAGCAAATCACACATACGGTTGGATTTTGATCCGATGGCTATAATTATTATAACTTTTAGAGGGGCCTCATGTTTGTAGCCGTCGGATCAAAATCCAACGACCTGTGTGATTTGCTCAGGAGGCCTCCTAAGCTCAGGAGGGATCCGTTCCTTTCTCTCCAAATCTATTTCGTGAAAATCTTAGGAATTTTCACATTTTAACCGTTCAACGTACATCGTGCGATTAGTTTCTTATCATATACTATTTGTGTTTCATTTTAAATAAAAAAGTCAAATGATTTATAACTGCACGATATACGATGAATAATTAAGACATAAGGATCAATAGGATCTCCACAAAATAGATTCGGATGGAATTCAATTCCAATTAATTTATAAAAGAAGAGGCATACGTGGATTGAGAGTCCGGCGTAGCATTAACAATCGACGACTACCAGTGCGAGGGTTCGAAGCCTACACTCCAAACCAAGAGAAAAGAAAAAAGCAGAATATTCGAATTCGAAAACTCGGCGGCGAGGCATGAATAATGCAGTGGAGGAGGAGGTGGAAGTTGAACCTCCACTTGCGGTGCTATTGGCTCCAAAACGCGGGAAAACAACCAAGACCAAGCGAAAATCCCAACCAGCAACAACATCCAATCAGCAGAACCCAGAGCCGGAGCCAGTTCGAATCGAGCCGGAGCCTGTTCGAATTGAGCCGGAGCCGGTTGGAGTTGAGCCGGAGGGAGTTCGAATTGAGGCGGAGCCAGTTCGAATTGGGGAAGAAGGCTCGAGGAATGGGTCTACGGTTAGAGTTTCGATGTTCGACGACTCGGTGGAGAATCACTTCAGAGTTATGGACACCATTGCCAAACTCTGCGGCGAGGCGGAGGAGGATCGCGGCGTCGAAGACGGCGAGATTCAACCCTTATCGTCCTCAATTACTTTTCTAAGGTAATAACAAATTAAATCCCTATCTATTCATAGTGTTTTTGTTGCTCAATTTTGTAAAGAAACGTTTTTTTTCTTGTTTTGTTTGTTCATTGTAAAGAAACGTTTTTTTTTCTTGTTCTGATGATTGCAAAGAAACGTTTTTGTTGAAGGGAATGGGCAGATTTTAAGTACGAACCTCGAGATGTTCGATTTGCTTGTGGAGTTGGAAGTCCTGAGGGGGAGGATGTCGTCGGTGGGATAAACTTGCGGCAATTTTCTTCTGCAACAGTTCCTAAGGTTATATATTCGAATTTGAATTTATGGTCGGTTTGCCTGTAATAGTTTTGCAAAGGATGAGCTGTAGTGATGTCTCTCATTATCATATGAGGAAACAAAGTTGGCATTTGATCTAATTTGCGGTTTACATGTTAATGCAGAACGAGGCACTTTCTGGGGTCGCACAATCTCCGGAGTTGAGGTACGTGAATTGGCATTAGCAATGAGGCATTTTGTGATGATTTAGAGCTCGTTTGGATGTACTTCTTAAATAACTGAAAGCGCTTTTGGTAAAAATGTTTTTAGAACCAATCTTTAGTAAAAATGCAAGTAAATCTTGGAAAAACACTAAGTGCTTTTGGAACTCAAAAATATTTTCTCTAAAAGCGCTTTCAGTCATTTTAAAAGCACATCCAAACGAGTCCTTAGTTGTTTCGTGCTTGTGTTTTTGCATTTCATTCACTATTCTACTTATCAAATTTCTCGGAGATTGTTGCTTTTGTTGACCAAAAAATTCAAATTTAAACTTGATGTTAGTCTTGTATATTGGATTTTTGCTGCCACCTAAACAAGCACTGATATATATCTCCAAATGTCCTTTATACATTTTTGCAGCCAAGACTTTTTGATGTATGTTGGAGGGCCTGTTTGGGCGTTAGATTGGTGTCCTAGAGTTCATCAAAGTAGCGATGGTCATCCAAAATGCGAGGTACATGATCTTTTTGAGGCCCTTCCTTCTTTCATTCTTGTCAAAGTCTATTAATTTAAGGGTCTACAACTTTCGCTACTTCTCATAGAAGGAAATGTGATATGATAACTTTTGCTATTTACGAAGTTATTTTTGTAATATTTGACTTTAACATTCTTGATCATTAGTGGTTAGCTACTTCAACAGATTCCTTGAGAATGTTAAGGGCCTTAAATAGTGAACTCTGAAATATTAGTTTTGAGCAATGTAAGAAACTTCCCTTGACTAGTTTTCTCTCAAATGGACGAGAAGTCTCCTTTTAGGTGGTTCTTAGTATGGTTTTCCATCTTCTTGCTTTCTTGGGGTTCAGATTCTTATGTTTACGTCATTAAATTCACATTATTTTAATAATAATGCTAGTAAGTTTGCACATACACATACATTTGGCAATAGTTGTCTAACTTTGATGTTGGACCATAGTGATAATTCGTTTTCCTTTTTGTGAAAAGATACAACTAGATTTCAAATATTTATGCTACTTCTTGTGTTATTGTCAGTAACATCTGTAAAATTGGTGAGGTTTATACAAGTTAGTGAACTTTTATCATGTTAAAGTAGTTCTCGTCTTCTATTTTATGACAAC